GAAAAGAAATATTACCTAAAAGCACAATTTAAGCAGAAACATAAATTAATGTCTCTGATTTAAGTAGCTCAGTGCTGCAAGCATTGGAATAAAAATAGTAAAGAATCATTATGAGTATTTTCTCGGATGTCTTCACTATTCTTTTTTTTTCTTTAAAATTACTCCTGCGGAAAAGTTTTAGGAAAAACACAATTGTCTTGACCTGGCTCAGGTTTTTTAAGGATTAATAAATAAAGCAACTTATCAATTTAATTCTTTATGCAATTCTAATTTGCATTTTTTTGTTAATGGAAAAAAGTAAAAAAAAAAAAATCACTCCTCGTATTCTTGAAATAAAGCCAAAATTATAAAATGTGTGTCTCGTGAAACAGCGTATAAAATCGATGTTGGTAGATTGAGGTTCTTTTCAGTGTGCCAATACTTAATTTTAAATGGTAACTTTTCAATTTTATAACCTTTCTATGCATGCTACTTTCTCACAAGCGTATACATGTACATGTACTTATATTATATAAACATAATATAGCGTTAACACATGAATCTGCATATTGGCAGCAGAAGGATATGATGCAGGAGTGTCTCAATGTTTTCCTTGATATTCCCAGTGGCTCGATAGCCAAGTCACTTCGGAGGATACGTTTAAAATAAGGAAAATCTTTGGAAATTATAATTGAGGTTCGGATTAATTTAAGTTAGCGCTTTAAAACTGCTTTGCTGTTGTAGTAGGCGACTACAAACTAAAGTCAAAAGAAACGCTAAGGTTTTATCCATCTTCATACGGAACAATTGTTTTATATCTAATTTTTACGAATATTTCTCAGTGGTTAGATTTTTTTTTACAGACATTGTACAAAAAATATTCAAAATGAATAAAGCATATTTACAACAAGTAAAATAATATAGGCATGTAGCAACAGGAGTGTCGTCCCCCTTCCATGTTTTTCCCAAACATTAAAAATATTCATTCAAAGGCGCGTCCTTGCCCCATCTTCCATCTTTTGTTGCAGTATGGTACGTCAAATCATCCCATGGGAATGTACTATAATATAAAATATGTTTGTTGGAAAAGTTTTAATCCTCCCTTTCAAGAAATGAAAATGTGGAGTTTGGACAGCCCCTTTTTCCCCTTGTCAAAGATTGTTCAGATAAGTCGTCGATTCCCCCCCCCCTTTTTTTCAAAAGCGATACTACTGCATGTAATAGCTGAAAAAATAATGTAACATTCCACTGTTTATTCTGTGACATTCATGAAGCCAAAGAGATGACATTTATGGCTTTCTGGAAAGCCAAACTTGTTTTAAATTCATTTATTTACCTCACTCGGCACACCTCGGCCGATTCGTACCTCATCTGGATGAAGGTGACGGAATCAGCCGAGGTTTGCCGAATGTTATTTACCTTCGACCAGCCTTTAAATCTTTGCATCATCATAGGAAATTGACAAGTGCTGTCTACCCTTCAAACGAAATCGGGAGACGTTTTCCGCTTTGAATAATCGTAGCCTAGGGAATGCAAGGTTTTCAGACTTGATTTTTAAGAAAACTGATACTTGGTCATGAAATAAAATTACCATTTTTTAATTGACCATTAATTATAAAACCAAAGTATGGCATTATTAATATTAGTCTTGTCATATTTTGAAAATTTGGGGGGGGGGGGGCGTGCGCCCCCAAGCCCCACTTAAATCCGCCAGTGGGGGCAGACCCCCTGAACCTCCTCTAAATCTGTCAGTGTTTTCTTTCATTATACGGACTTGCAGAATAAGCGAAATACTCCAGACATTTAATAAAAATCTCAAACCCGATCTAAAACGCGTTGACAAAGTCAAACCAGACGGTTTTAGTTTTTACGGCATTTTTACAGTGATATGAGAAAAGTCGGATAATTGCTGTTAATTTTAAGAAATAAAGTTCGGCATTTTTCAACCTCGTTCGGTATATTTTTTCCGTTAAGGAGGAACACATGGACGAAGGATAAAAAAAGAGGTATTCTGCATGTACATGTACACATCATTGCTATAATTGTGTACTCGGGATTAAACCCAAAATCCTTCGTTACATTGTATTTGGGTATAATTTTCACATGTTCTCAGGCGGATAATCATTTATTTTTATCTGTCTAAAGACAATAATTTCAGTTAATAGAGAAATGTTTTTATTTCGTCGTTTTTTTCCCATCCTTTTGGTTTACACGTTTGCTTTGTATACAAAAGCGTGTGTTCATATACCGCTGTTTCTACACGCTATCGATGTGATCAGGGAGAACATGATATCCTCCAGCAATTTACTTCTTATGAAAACACTCAATGAAAACATATTAGGTGAAAATATATACACCCATTAGTATCTTAGTAACAACCAGTTTAATTGCAATGTCACCAACCGTAACGATCGCTGGCCAGGACTTGGATATAATTTATTACCGCTATTAAAACAACTCGTCAGCTGAGTGGACCTATGATTTAAACAGTAAAATAGGGAAATTCCAGAGTTCGAAGTGTATTTATTTTGGCCGCTCTTCCGCATAAACAAATTAAATCGCATTTACGCGTACTTATATGCATGTACCAATAATTTGTGTCATGGGTAAATTCAATTTATTAGATGAAATAAAACAAATGCATAAGATTAATGAGATGGAATGAGAACAAATCTTAACCTGTCAAATAACTTATAAAACATACTTCGTTTTCCAGACACTAATTGCCATGCGTAATCTTCACATGCACTGACCAAGAGGTCACAAGATTGAAATGTATGGCTTCTCATTGCGTGAGTTTTGTCAACACATGTCGGAGTAGACTATCTTAGCCAATTGATTCCCAAAGAAAACTGCATAGGAAGGGTTCTTTTTTGGTACGCTTTTTAACGAGTAAAATTCATTCGACGCTCGATAGAATTTTCAAATACAAGTGAAATATTGAGGCGGTTAACATGGTTAAGTTACATGCGTCCGACCTAGTATTTTGTATGCAATAATATTGTAAGTTAGGAAGAAAATAATAAAAACTCAAAAGTACTTAATTTTATTTTCGATTTTCCTGACAATTAAAAATGTGACCTCTACATACAATTATCGTTTTTAATTATATACATCCTGTTTAATGTTCATGAAAGAAATAACAACTCGTTAAATAATAACATAAGAGAGATCAATAAACTGTTTCTTTAATACGCAAAGAAAGTGGTCTTTTCGGCATTCAAAATGCATTGAATTTGAAGTGAATAAGTGAAAGGCACTTAAGACTAGCTGATTAAAACGAGCGAGTGATAATTAAACAGTAAGACGGAATCATATGAAAGATTCGAAATGATTTTAAAGTAATTTTCCACAAAGCGCAATTATCTCAACAATGCAATGTTTATAAGAATAAATATGCAACTTTCTTGTAATTGAGCGAATAAAATATAAATCGAAATGTACTAGCGACCTAATCAAAGATATGAAATAATCTGAAAGATTCAACATATTTATCCACTCATCACTTAGTTAAAAATGTATTTGGAATGGCCATTCTATGATTGTTTTGTGTATGACTTTAGGTCGCTGGTTCACACGCCGATTGATCCTCGGTGACCTCCTTTGCCACGCGCTATCGAGGGAGGGGTTACATAATTGTAAACACACGAGGTGAATGTAAAAGGCGTGTACTTAATGGCTGTGAATAGTCTATGTTTAAAGTGTTGTTTTATTTTCTAACTTTATTGTATGTTTTTATATGATAAGAAGAAAAGGTTATCTTTTTTTCCCTGTTTAGTAGACTGGTTTATCCAAATTTGAAAACAAACGAAATAAAAGGGAAAGTTGTCAGTAAATAATTTGGAAAAAAAGCACAAAATACTTCAAAAACCTGATTCTAAAGAATATTAGCATCTAATATAGCAAGGTTTATTATTTATAGTAAGTTTATTTTAATTACACGCATGAAGAGCTCTTGTTTACTTGCTGAATGAAAACACTTACCTGTATATGTGTTATGCTTCTAGCTCATTTAGAACAAAAGACTCAAACAAAATAACATTTTCTTGAGATCAATAAGATGTTAAATAACAACTTTAATTACGGCAGCTATTTCGAAATATTTACCGTTTTTGAGTTATAAAGCAAAAACTTTAAAGGGCCCCAGATCCCTAATTTTAGGGGCCAGACCCTTTTTAGTGGTCTCAAATGAAAGGCCTTAAAATTGTGCACAACTTTTATTCTACATGTTTTATCAAAATATTTTTAGTTTAGAAGATTTTGGCGTTCTAATTTTTGACCCCTCTCTAGCGCCATTTTGAATACAGAAATTGAAAAACAAAAACCAATGTGCACAACTTCAGTGCTTCTATTATTTAAATTCGGTAGAATTTCTACTCCAGCTTCAGTAGTCTCTGACCCTTTGTCTGGAAATGAAGCCTCCTAAATTTTCATTTAAAGGGAGATAACCCAAAAGCGGAAGTGGGTTTTTGAAATGTTTGACAGCATTCTGATAGAATTTTGTAACGTCTTTAAACCCTGCAAATTTGAGCAAAATCCCTTGAGAAATGAGCAAGATATGAGGTCTCAAAGTTGGCGTCTAGGAAAAAAAAAAAAAGAATAATAAGAATAATCTTAACCATCAGAATCAGTAGAAGGTCTTCCGCCTGGAGCGGAAGACCTTAATTTGAGTAAGTATTAACTTAAAATCTGTGTCTAAGCACCTTTAAAATTAAAGCCCCCCCCCCCCCCTGTTAACTTTTCAATACTGAATTGATTTGTGCTTTTTCCTAGCCATTGTGCTCAGGTGAGCCATGTGGCCCATGGGCCTCTTCTTTTTTGCTTGTCAGAATTTTTTGGGGAGTTGGTCCCTCCACTTCGTAAACTGGCCAGTTTGCCACTTAGGCTAAGTGTGAAGAAAACAGCTAGTGGATATGTACTTAAACAATCAAATGCATGTACTTTCAAAAAAAAAACAAAGAAAAAAAAACCTATATTATTGTTACTATTATACCATACACTATTACTATGAATTTCAGCAATTTTTCTTTTTTATTTAGTTTCTCCAATACCTAATTATTTTTCATACCTTTGAAACATCCATTACCCTTTTAGACATAACACAAATATACTAGGTATTTCCTGTTGCATTGGCAAATGATAATATAAGACAAAAAATTTGTGTGATAACTCTCAAATTTCACTGCAAAAGCTTCAAATTTCACAATAAATGACTGTACACATTGCATTCAGCATATTTTCTTTAAATGAAATATTTTGACACATAAACCTTTAATTCCCACTTAACTTCAAACATTCAAAACTGACCACCCTTCAAATATAATACTGAATCATTTCAAACAGTTGACAATGCTTAAAATATAACAAATAATTCAGCATCTAAATGAAAAAAAAATCACTTGTTAATCAACTTTCTTGCATTCTAAAAAACACACTCTCTCTCTATTCATGATACTTGTTTAAATCATAATGGAGGGGCAAATAAAAAAGAAAGTTTCGTGATGAAGAGAACATTTGTAGGACAAAGAAGTACAAAGAATTCCAATGGAAATATGTCTATTGTAATCATATGTACACATATAACATACTCTGTTTAATCAGATTTGTAATAAAGAATTCAATAATTAAAAATTGTTAGATTATGGCACGTTAGAGAATCAATGAATAGAAGGAATGATTTTTTTCCTCACTCTATCTATCATTATATATTAAGAATTTTATTCATCAGATATGCGATAATAACAGGGTATGTTGTGGCTATTTCACTTCCAGAGGTTAATGATATACAATAGTCTGAATATATTATCACACTGGGCGTGAAAGCTTGAAGCACAACCAACATGATGAAAGGAAAGTCTAGTATTTAAAATCACCAACAAATCTTCATATACTTGTAAAAATAATAATTGACCAAATGCAAGTGTTATCCCTTTAAATAAAGGAAGCAAATGTACAAAAATCACTGTCAGACAAGATCAACATTTTACCTCAAGCTTAAAACATGATTTCTACACTTCTACAGTATGCCTTAAAAATGCTAGTAACCAAAAGGAAAAAAAACAAACAAAATAAGTATGTGCCATATCAAACAACACTAAAACAAATTCTTAAAACAATTCAAACTAAATGCTTGGTAAGCTCTAAAATTAACCTTTTGGGGTGTATATTGGCTATTTTTTTTTATTCATCTGATCAAAACTGACCACCTCTAAAAGCTACAATGTAACAATAAATTCCATTTCCAACAATCTACTTTTATTGTGGTTTTTTTTTTTAAGTTTCTTTTTTTTTTTTTCTTTTTTTTTTTTTTTTTTTTTTGAAATGGTTAAAATAAAAATATCTACTCTTTTTAAAGAGTATTTTCCCCAAAACATAATTACTGATATGCTTAGAAACTAAATGTGCTAAAGGTGTATGTTACATCTACTACTTAAGTGTGCAGTGTGGTGAAATTGATTACAGCTTAGGAGGAAATGATTGGATGTGTAGTTCTCCCTAGACATGTCACAGTTAGTACATGTACCTTTCAACAGAAACAAAAATCATGGACAATCCCAAACAACCACAGCTGACTAGAAATGAAAAACATCAAAGATGGAATTTGTTTTTTAAAATTATTAATTTCTTTGGTTCTTTTCAACTAAATTTAAAAATTATCAGAAAAAAAGATGAACAATGATTTGATGCATTGCAATAATGGCATCAAAAAAGTGGCAAATACATCTAAAGCCAGGAAAATAAAATCTAATACTAAAAACACATGAATAAAACAATTCAAAAAAATAATTAACTATGCCATTAATACAATTCATTGTTAAAAGTTGTTCAGTATTACATAACAACACACAATTATTAAAAAATATTATCTTAAAAAAAAAAAAACTGAGTAAAAATCAATTCTAAAACTAGGATGTGAACATTCTTATGAGGTTGTGAAAAAATTTCTTTCTTGGCACAGATTGTAAAAATGTTTTTTAAAAAAGTTTCTTTATGCATCATAATTAGTTTTCTTTTAACAGAATGGATGTATAAAACTCACAGCCTAAGAATTTAAACTTGCATGGTTATCTTCTCTCTTGGCTGAAAAAAAAAAAAGAATTCAATTTTAAAATACAGTATACTGCACATAAGTCATTTAATACTTGTTTTCAAGAACTTACTTGTATGAGTCTCTCAGTACCTTTATTAGTTTATGATAAGAGCTTACCTGTACGAGTTTCTCAGTACCTTTATTAGTTTATGATAAGAACTTACCTGTAGGAGTCTCTCAGTACCTTTATAAGTTTATGATAAGAACTTACCTGTACGAGTCTCTCAGTACCTTTATTAGTTTATAAGAACTTACCTGTACGAGTCTCTCAGTACCTTTATTAGTTTATGATAAGAACTTACCTGTACGAGTCTCTATTGTAAATTTCTGATAAGAACTTACCTGTACGAGTCTCTCAGGACCTTTATTAGTTTATGATAAAAACTTCCCTGTACGAGTCTCTCAGGACCTTTATGAGTTTATGATAAGAACTTACCTGTATGTGTCTCTATTGTTGTAAATTTCTGATAAGAGCTTACCTGTACGAGTCTCTCAGTACCTTCGTTAATTTATGATAAGAACTTACCTGTACGAGTCTCTCAGTACCTTCGAAAGTTTAAGATAAGAACTTACCTGTACAAGTCTCTCAGTACCTTCCTTAGTTTATGATAAGAACTTACCTGTACGAGTCTCTCAGCTGCTCTGTCCATACTCCACAGTAACGGCTTTTGTTTTGAGATACTCTGTCAGTGCCTCCATACCTACAGAAAACAAAACATTTTGGTCAGTCATACAACATTTAGGTGAACTGAGAATATGTTCACACACTCAATCTGAAAATTCATAAGGAGAGGTAAAAAAGTTCAATCCACATTAAACTGCTTTCAGATGAATTCATAGAGACTATTAAATGTTGAATTAATTATTATTTTCTTAATAACAATTTTTGTGCATTGAGCTTTATTGTGTATTTGTAAATAGAGGCTTCAGATGTCCAATAACAAAGTTGATATACATGTAAGCGAGATCCCAGATAAAAACTAAGTAAACAGGGTGGATTGTTTGATTGCCTAGGTAACAAATACAACAAAATTGTTTTGTCAACTGGTCTGAAGGTTTAGATCATCTGCCAAAAGCAGAACAAACTTTCTTTACACTGCTCATGCATTTTTTTTGCCCCCCACCTTTAAGGAAAGTGAGGGGACATTAAATCTCATTCATCTGTCTGTCCATCTGTGTGTGTAGCTGTCCATCTGTTCTTCAGTTAGTCTGTCACAAAACTTTACCCTTGGTTATAACTTTCAAATGAGAAAAGATGGGGCTTTCATATTTCATACATGGATTACCTACTATGATTTTTGACTCTGTTACCTTGACCTTGAAGTTTGACCTGCTTTTGAAAAATTTGAACACTGTTTCATATTGGTCTTTTGAATGGGAAAAGATTAGAAATTTATATGTCACATGTGCATTACCTGTGACCAGGTCTTTCTGAATGTACTGATTTTTGACCTTATGTCATGACCTTGAAGTTTACCCTACTTTTCAAAAATTTTAACTCTGGTAACAAATTTTGAATGAGAGGAGATAGACTTTCATATTTCACATGTACACTACCTGTGACAACACTTCTAAACTACAGTGTATTTATAATATTTTACCTCATAACTTTGACCTAGAAGTTTGACCTACTTTTCTAAAATTAAACTTTGGCCATAACTTTTGCACCAGAAGAGAAAGGACTTTAATGTTTTTTCAGGTTTGAATTAGGTTTGAACAAAAATTGTGAGTCTGCAGAATTATGACTCCTTGGGAAATTTTACGTTTACAGTATATCCTTACATCTAGATAGAAAATTCATAACCATACTGGAGGTATTTAGTTGGGATACTGATCTTCATTTATCCAAGCTCTATACTTTCTGTATTTGATCAACTTTTATTTTTATCTGTATTTTACATCCACTTACCGAGATCCTTTCCAAACCCAGACTGTTTGAAACCTCCAAAGGGAGATGCTACATCTGTTTTGTTGTATGTGTTGACAAACACAGTTCCAGCATCTAGATGATCAGCCACATACATAGCTTTGTTGATATCATTGGTAAACACACCAGAGGCCAAACCATACTCTGTTCCATTTGCACTCTTCAACACACCATCTATGTCCCTGTCATGGAGTTTTAAAACATGCACATTTAGGTATAGGGAGTTTAAAATTAAAATTTTCTGTTCTCGACCTACTTTAACTCGCTAATATTAATCACTGCGAACCATTTATTTAGCTTTGTTTTCATAGAGAATATTTCCACAGTCGCAAAAATTAATCGTCGCGGATTGATTTCAAACTGATGAATCGCGAATAAAAGATGACGCAAATAATAGTTGGTTTACAGTACTTATTTTGCTGGAAAACCAAAATAAATGAAATATGTTTATGAATAGTCAATAATATCTCCAATGTAAATCTCTATAAAGTTCTGTTACAACCATCCTTTCTTCTCTTTAAGAATTATTGTTGATTCAGGATATATCTTTATGTGTTAACAATTTAACATAGCAAAGCATCTGTGAATACCAGTAAAATTTATGCTTTATGCAATCTTTCTGCTTGTTGTTTCCTTGAACAAATACACATGTATGTAAATGTACATTAATTATCCTTTTTTTTGAAGCCAATATCTGCTTTTATCAATGCCCTTACCCATCTTGGAACTTCGAGATGATCATGACCGGACCAAAGGACTCCTCCTGAGCAATAAACATGTGATCCTCCACACCAGTAAATACAGTGGGCTCCATGAATAGTCCTGTGAGGAATATATGTACATAAGTACACCATCTCAACAAACAGGCTGATAATTAGATTGATAGCTCACTGATAAATTATATAAATGTAAATCTAACCTTCATTTTATATAATTTGTTTGGTTTAAAAAAAAAAACATCAATTTGTTTATAGTTAAAATTCGATATCTCAGATACTGATATCTCTAATACAATGGATATCTCTAAGTCTGTTCGAATTCATAAGTAAGATTTCTTTAATGTATTTTAACTCAGATATCTTTTTTTTGGCCCCATCCAATTTGAAATAATGAGCTTTTACTGTATATGTAAAGAAAGGCAGAGATGAATTCATCCTTTGATCCAAATTCTATGGTCATTACTATCAAACACTCATGTAACCTCTAATAACCTCACATAACCTCTTCAGTATTCCTTAACCTGTCCCTCTCTTAAAGACACCTACCTTTCCTGTCTACCTGCTTGCCCCCATACACCAGCTTGGCCCCCTCTTTGACCCCCACTTCACAGTACTCCAGTAATTTCTCCAGGTGAGCTCTGTGGTTTTGTGGGCCGTGGTCAGTGGAGCGGTCCAGGGGGTCCCCGATCTTCATCTTCTTGATTTCCCCAATCTACAGTGTTACAAAGTAATTAACTGGCAGGTCATCCTCATTTCCATTACCTTATATACTGTGCATACATGTATCATATTAATATTTATAGTGATTATATAAATATCATAATTGAAGTTTAGAGACATCAAAATCAGTTTGTTATAAACATCAATCTATCATATACATGTATATCCCTGACAAGTGTTTAAATTTTTATGCCCCCGGATCGAAAGATCCCGGGGGTATATTGTTTTTGTCCTGTCTGTCTGTTTGTCTGTTTATCTGTTTGTCAGTTTATCTGTTTGTCTGTTTATCTGTTTGTCTGTCTGTTGTCAACTTTAACCTTGCCCATAACTTTTGATTGGTTGGAGTTATGAGTTTCATATTTCACAAGTGAATTCCTTGTGACAAGACCTTTCTTTGGGTACAATCATATTTGAGCTTTTGACCTTGACCTTGGAGTTTGACCCACTTTTGCAAAATTTCACGAGACTTTAACCTTGCCCATAACTTCTGAACAGTTGGTGCTGGGGGTTTCAAACTTCACATGTGTATTCTTTGAGACAAGGCCTTCCTTTGGATACCAACAACTTTGACCTTTTGACCTTGACCTTGGAGTTTGACCTAATTTTGAAAAACTTTAACCTTGGCCATAACATTTGAACAGTTGGTGCTTGGGGTTTGAAACTTCACATGTGTATTCCTTGTGACATCACCTTCCTTTGCATACCAACAACTTTGACCTTTTGACCTTGACATAGGAGTTTGACCTACTTTTGAAAAATTTTAACCTTATACATAACTTTTGAATGGTTGATGCTAGGGTTTTCATACTTCACATATGTAATCCTTGTGACAAGATCTTCCTTTGGATACCAACCACTTTGACCCTTTGACCTTGACATAGGAGTTTGACCTACTTTTGAAAAACTTTAACCTTGGCCATAACTTTTGAATGGTCGGTGCTAGAGCTTTCATACTTCACATATGTAATCCTTGTGACAAAACATTCCTTTGAATACCAACTACTTTGACCTTGACCTTGACATTTTACTTACTTTTAAAAAACTTTAACCTTCGCCATAACTTTTGAACAGTTGCAGGTAGGGCTTTCAAATTTCACAGGTATATTCCTCGAGACAACATTTTTATCTTTTAGCCTGGATTTTGACTTGCATTTGAGGAACTTTAACCTTTGCCATAAGCTGCCATACGGGGGCATCAGTGTTTCACAAACACATCTTGTATTTTCTGTTTTTTCTCTCTTAAAAACCTGTCTCGTTTCAAATTCTTATAACAGTCCCTTTTCAATACAATCTCTCCCTGTAGCACAGAGGATTGAGATTACATATGCTTACAATGCGTTCTACGTATTCATCGTGGATAGATTCCTCAACAAAGAGCCGTCCTGCAGCTATACAGTTCTCTCCCTTGTTGAAAAACACAGAACTCATTCCCTGAAGATAAAAATAAAACTTACCCTTGTAAAGTAGAACAGATATACATGTATTGCATTAAAAACATACTGGATTGATCTGGGGCCAACAATAACAAATGATTTGATTGATGTACTTCGAGTGACCCATCGAAATTGTTACTTTCTGATCATTTTTTCAGTACTTGAATTTTTTTTTTTTTTTTGGTTTCATTTTTTTGTTTTGTTTTTGTTTGCTAGAAAACACAGAATGTCAATAACATTTTTAAAGTGAAGGAAGACACATTTAAATTGAACCTTTTTATAGCAATAAATATTAAATCTGTCTAGCTGTCCTGTGTATGATGAAAACATAAATAAATGATTTTATTATCATTGTCAATTTGTGGGATAATTTCAAAGAAAGAAAACACCAACTTACCTATCCATCTTGAAAATTTAGGTCAGAATACATCAAACAAAAATTTTTTGAATGATGGCCTGGTAATTTCAATTGTGCTTTTAACAAAATTATGTTCCGATTATTCAGTAAATTATATTATTTACAACACCATGAAACTGGTAGTGAATTTGAATTCAAATATATTAATAATTTACATATTTCACAATTTAATAAAGAATGTATATATAAGCTTGTACAAATAATATATAACTAAATACACTGCTCAGCCTACATTTTCCCTTATCAAAATACAGTGTATAACTATAAGTGCAGTGCATCTTTAAACTGTTTCATTTTGAAGTTATGAATTTGACATTCTTACCATTCTAACAGCCTTGTCCATATCACAGTCACTAAAAATAATCAGAGGGGATTTCCCTCCCAGTTCCAGAGAAACCTTCTTCAGGTTGGCTTTGGCACAACTGAAATAATTATTTAGAAATTTATCATTTCCTTGATCAAGATAAAAGGAACAAGAAAAACTGAACAATTGCATTAAAATTTTGTAAATCATATGAAAATTAACAGATTAATTTGAAATTAAACTTATTTCAGGAAATGTAATGCCATGCTGCTGCAAAAGACCTGTGAAAAAATCTCTTTTAGAATGACTTTAATCTGTGTACCTTTCCATGATGGTTTTTCCAATAGGAGTGGACCCTGTGAATCCAAGCTTTCTGATCTCTGGATGTTCGGACATGGCTTGTCCAATTGAGGAACCTAAAAATATGAATTCAAAAATATAACATGAAGTACATATCGTATTCAAACCTCTGTTTGCCTCATCAGTTTAGATTTCTTGTCAGAGCTGTCTCCCTTGGTGTTTTTTTCTTTAATCACCAAATGATAGATAGAAATCTGTTTTGATTTTTTCTACCTCCCTACCCAAGCAGTCACAGATATAACTCATCTGGACTGTCCTTCATGGAGGATCTCTCTCTCTCTCTCATGCTCTCTCTCTCTCATTTCTGATTTTCACCTGGACCAGGTAAGATGTTGATCACTCCTGGTGGAAATCCAGCCTTGACGACAAGTTCTGCAAATTTGAGGGCTGTCAGAGGTGTGACCTAGTTAGAAGAAAGGAAAGATTTTCTTAAGTTTACAATTGAAAATACAAGTTGTTCATGCCCTTTACATAATTATATAGTTTACTAATGACACAACATAATTAAATATATATATATATAGCAGAAATCGTTTCATCATGAATTTTGCCCTTTCCATGGTTATTATTTTGTGCCAGCTTGGTTCATACCTGTGCTGGTTTTAGGACCACAGTGTTGCCAGCTGCCAAACAAGCCGCCATTTTCCATGCTAACATCATCAGAGGGTAGTTCCATGGCACCACAATAGCACACACTCTGTAAATCAATCAATATATATATAGTCTTTTCAATATCTTTTTTCATATTGATTTTAAACTTTAATTTAACCCGAAGCTTCCACTTTCATTTAAATAAACATCTAGATGTGGTTTCCATGGAATTAAGATCTCTGAACCAATGGTATCAAAGCTTCAAAATCAATCAAAAGTAAACCATCTTTGCTACATGTACATGGTTCCTGGGGAGAGGAGATGACATCTACTATAGATTCCTAAATATACACAAGTTTATTATCGTGCAATTTCACAAGAAGCACTGTTTGTGAAGTAAAATTACTCACTTTTATTTTATTGATGAAATGCATGTTAAAACCCTTGATCAGCAGTCAACTCTTGCAAGTTGACTTCAACGAGACATTTTTTTTTGAAATTAAGTACTAGCATAAAATAAGAAATCTACAGAATTATTTCCCGTTTGTGTGCATGTACTGTACATACATGTATATGTGGAGAATGGGAAAAACTGACCATTTCTGTGCGTGCAATTTGTTCAATATACATACATGTAGCTCATAAATTAATAAAATGCATGTTCACCAATTCCCATTCATCATGTTTCATTTCATACATTATTTTACACATCATCAAAAAGAAATGATTAACATTACTTACCCGATAGGCTCTCTCTTAGTGTAGGTAAGATTCTTGTTTGGACGGGCATGGTTAATTGGAATGGTCAAACCCTGTAAATAAAAGGAATACTTATGGGACAGCATGTCATACATGTATCTTTACATATATAGCAGTATTAAGATAAAACTTAAAGCTTATTTTATGTGTATACCTGAAAATTATTTACAATATCAAATCAATGAAGGTTCATGGATAATCTTAATTTTAAAATTTGCAAATCTGGTTACAAAATGTTCCAGTCTACAGATTTCCACTTTGATACAATACAATACTATAAGGGTTGTCCCTTAGAATTGAAATAGCAGGGGCCATAAAAAAGTAGAGGGGTGTCTTGGATTCATTCCCTAATGGGGGTTGAGGGGGAATCTCAGTATAACCACGAAATTACGTCATTATTGGTGGGTCTTCTGGACAACCCTGTACATGTACATGTTATTCTAGATGACGACAATAAAAGAGTTCAATTTTAACCTGAATCTTGTCACACCAGCCAGCGAAGTATCTGAATGTGTCGATAGACATCCCCACATGTGTCTTTAAGGCCAGTGTGTACACAGCTCCGGAGTCGATACTCTCCAGGGTAGCTAACTCTTCTTTGTGCTCATCCATTAAATCTGCCAGTCTGAATTCAGATAAATATTTTTTAATAAACACAATTAAAATACAATAAATATGTACTTCCTGAAATTAACAAGGACCAGATAAGATACCTGAACATCAGTGCCCCTCTATCCCTGGCATTCATCTTCCCCCATTCACCTTCATAGAAAGCAACCTAGTACAGAGGCGAAAACATTATCAAATAAAGGTAAAAAATACACCAAAACAGTTGCCCTCATTAAAGTCTCTTTATTTGTTATGCAAAGGATAATTAACTTTTTTGCCATCAGAAATATGTATTTATTTTCTTTAAACACCAAATTCTGCAATTCATTAAAATATTTATCAGATAGTTGAAAACAAATTAGTTTTCCTTTTTCAATAAAATTAAATGATAAGATAAAGACCTTGGCAGCTTCTACAGCTCTGTTGACATCCTCAGGTGTACCCCTAGATACCTTACAGATCACCTACAACAAGACAAAGAAAAATTTTTTTTTGGACAAAAATTTAACAAAAAGTAAGACTGATGATAACTGTTGACATCCTCAGGTGTACCCCTAGATACCTTACAGATCACCTACAACAAGACAAAGAAAACTAAGTCTTTGACAAAAATTGAACAAAAACTAAGACTGAAGATAACTGGGTCATGAGATTTATGATTGGGATCAATACTAAATACTCATGTATTAATTTGTCAAAGGGATAATCAGTCTACAATCAACCCTACTTACTATTGGCTCAAATGATATACACACAGACCTCTTGTTTGATGTGAATATACTGAAAGTTTCCGTTTTGGGATTAAGAGTGTAACTTTGTCTTACAGTCTTCCTTTTGGGATCAACCTTATATCTAACACACCATCACTTGGATCATTTATTATATACTTACAGACTCATCATTAGGGTTAATGGTGTCAAATGTCCTGCCATCAGACGAGTCCACGAATTCGTTGTCGATGAAGCACTGGTGTGGGAAAGATAAATCCATGTTGTTCACTCTCATGTTTACCTAGAATATCAAATCAGAATCCAACTGAAACCCCCAAGATACAAAAAAAACTGAGACAGTGCGGTCTCGTTATTACGATGTTCATTTTGTCACGGGGAAATATCGTAATACCGAGGGCAACGTAATAAAGGTTCCCAATAAAATCCATTAAAACATCGTTTTGAAAGCTTGTTATTTTAGTGGGAGGTGTATTTTTGCCCTTTTGTTCCCTTCCTCTGTTCCAATTCTTAATTAAAACGCTATACACATATATAATTTATTAACAACTTATCTTGAATAGATATCTTCATGATGATATTTCTTCTATTTCCTTCACTTTAAAAGAAATATGCATATTTTTTATAAAAACTTTGGCGATCTTCATTTATCTACCGCCATTTCCATTTACATTTACTTTCATTTCTGACTCTCTAGATAATGTGTTCGTAAAAATTTTAATAAGCCGTCTTCGTATTCAATTTATAGTCGTTACTAAATAAACAACAACAATTTTTTATTTTAATTAATTAATTTATTTATTTAAACAAAAAGGTCAAAATACACAAAGAGGGCAGTGTGACTGTCATATTTATGGACGGAATTTGACAACACACAAGCTATATGTCGAAATAAATTTGATTTTTTTAAATTACTGAACAGAGTTCAATTAGCAGTTCAGCAATTATCGATGTGAATTTCTGCTGACACCTGCGAGGTAGTCCAAGCCACAATCCAAGCTGTTAAAACATAAGTGAAGTTCAAATTTGACCCGAATTATGTTTGATACCCAAGCTGTCCATTACCGCGGTTTAACTGCAAACTAAATTACACAATACGTGTTTAACATACATGCACAGGATTAAATGTAACCTTTTATTTAATAAATTAATTTTATTTATTAACCAAAGTATAAAAGATAAAATAAACTTTTCAGAGATAGATAAACTAGAGACTACATTTATAAATAAACAGTTTAATTGTTTAACAATGGCTTTGACATGATGTCTCCAGTTCTGCTGACCTCGCTAGAACAGTCAAGGTGTTAGCAGTCAAGTGTCACTAATCACCTAACGGGCCTGTAAGTTACACTCTGTCAGAGCACAGGTGTTTCAATGTTTATTTAGCATCTCCTTAAGTGTCTACTGTCGATCAGCACTGAATAAACACGGAGTGAAAAATTTTTTGGACAGAATTTTTACATCGTAATACCAAGTCCCGGCATTTTAGGACATCATAATAAAGGGTCCTATTTTGTATAGATTTGTTAATAAATGGTTTTGTGCTTTGAATTTACAATGTAATAAGCGTTCTATCTTATAAAACCGTCACCGTAATAACGAGACCGCACTGTAATTCACATTTTTCACAGGTTCCATTTGAGTCTCTTTTTTCCTATTATGTGTACATCTATCAGATATTAAGTGTTTTTTTCTATGTCTGTGCTGCTGCATATTATTATATAAATATTGCATGCAGTTGAGCGTAACACTGAAAATTTTCAACCCAAGAAAAGCATTGTTTACTGAGGTTCAGCCCAGGCCAGGTGAACAATGGTTTTCTTGGGGTGAAAATTTTCAATGTCATCCTCAACTACATGTAATATTCATATCTTCCAAAATTATAGTAGCTACATGTATACAGTACTTTCATGTCATTTTATAACACATGTAAGATACTTGTGGTAAAAGATCAAAAACATTTTTCTTCCCATCTTTGCACTACAGCATTAAGAATAGCTATCAAAATTTTGTTTTATGTGAACTTACAGCATCAAATGTGAATGGTTCCTTATCCTCGATTCCTCTGAATCTACGGATCACACAACTGGCAAAGTCCTCAAACCCAGCATTCATGTACACATCCTCGTTCTGTAGACTAACTCCATTACATTTCTCCTTCACCTCTTCCACCAACCTAATGTCAAGGTCAAACATATAATGAAACAGAATTAACAGAATAAAGTGTTGAAAACAAATGAAAGATCCAACTACTCCAATAAATTTCTAGCCATCCACGGTTTTGTATCAACTTTTGGGAGTGGGGTTTGTAGGTCTGCTTTGATCCTGGTATTTGGAGCATAAATTTATTTGAGAAATACAAAGACTTTTTATACCTTACAACATCCATGGAGCCTGCACCAGACTTAAAGAAATCAGTGGCTTCATCCACTTCAATGTTCAGTATGCCACCCCATACAACCTACAAAACAAGTATTTGTATTTTATTTCTTAAACAGGTTTCATTAAAATATACATTCAAACTTCATTCTTCAGTTTCATAAATCTTTCCAACAGGTCTAGAGTGCAACCTGCATGATTGTTTTAATGTAATAAATCATTTTATCTTTAACAAATTTTTTTGTCAAACTATAACTGATATTTCATTAATATCTTGTCCAAATGATTTTCCATATGGAAAAAAAAGCATTGTATGATATCAAAATTTTGATTTTTTTTTTCCATATAAATAGAAATTTTTCATTTTCATCTAAGTCTACAATTAACAACAACTATTAGATCCACACCTTAAGATTTTTGATCATGGTTTCCTCCTCTGGGGCCAGTTCTAACTTTGTCTGAGATGTGTCTTCCTTCCCAAACTTAGACGCCTGGATCATCTTCCCATTCTCAAACTGAAGCTGACTGACATTCACCTAGTGTGACAGGAAAAAACACACACATGTATCTGTTACATATAGCACACATAAGTGTTCCTGACAGCCAATCAGAGGGCTGGATACTTCCACTCATCACCTCATTATTTATATCCTAACTTTTAATCTAAAAGACCACTTGGTGCTCTGATACCGAAACAATTTTATGCTTTGGGTAAACTCTTAAACTTTACTGCAAAAAAATATATGCACAAGTTTTAAAGATGAGTTTATCACATTTTAAAATCCTGACATCACAATACTTTACAGGGTTTCAGCAACAGAATTTCTGTCCTGGCAAACTATGTTCTTCACTTACTGTAGATTGGCAAATAATCACGATGACTTTAATTTCACTATGTTTGCCATTCATCATTTTTCCACGAAATTAAACCCATCGTGAATGCTTCATTAGTTTTTAAAAACGTTTATATGCTTATACGAAATTTTAATTAATTTCTTGCTGCATGAAATTAAAACCATCGCGATTGGTACTTTTTGAGAAATCGTGAAATTTTATTATTAAAACGACATACAGTAATTGATAAAATGGGGAATACTGAGTCCTGTTTAAATTATAACTTCTTGCACAAGTTTTTTTTAAAAATAATTTTCTTTTAGTTCAAAATAATTTATACAGATCCGTTAGGATCAAAGGTGAATCGATTTATCACACACTGAGCATCTATTACTGCTTGAGAGATTAGAGTTTTGTTTTAAAAAAAGATGAAATGAGTATTCATCAAAAATTTTCAGAGCATATCAAAGCAATTCAAGCACTCAATGTCATTGATTCTGCAAAATTTAACAGCCACATTTCATGCATTCTGTTCAAATAATTGTTATAAACCATTCTCTTGTAAAACTCACCATTTTCCCATCATTGCCGAAGATGACCATACCATTCTTGTGTACAATAGCTGGCTTACTGGCACCTGGTACTTCCACCTGTGTTCCCCTGGGCTCCATTCTGTTCCAAAGTCTGGACCCAAATAATGTCACTTTCTACAAAACCAGATATATCAACCTAAAATCTGGAAAAAAATCAGCTTAAATCTCAAGAACATGTACTTCTCACACTTGTTTCTCTTTGATATCAAGGTTGGTAGGAAATTCTGAGTTACCTCCCCATTGATCTCAATCCATGCCCCTGGCACTTTGTCACAGCCTCTGATAAAGTTATGGATGTTTTCTGCTGTCTGATTCAGGTCAATCTTCAAACAATAAACTGTATGTTATTTTTTCCCGTTAATTAAATTTTGTATCATGAAGTTTGAAATAAAATTACTGTTTAAGAATGCACTCTGCATTACCTTTACATTGGCCTTTTTCAGTAGAGGATCGTATGTAGCGCCCTCTTCAGGCTGCACAATCCGTGGTGCTCTCCCCTGGTGGATCATTTGGACAGCCTCTCCCTGAAATTAAATGTATGCAATCAGGTTTAGGAAGACGATTATGTTCATTCACTATGCATTCAGTCTAAAGAATTATCACAAATGAAATACTCATTGTGAGATAGCATGTTCTGTTCAGAACTTTTACAGAAGTAGAAATGAATGAACTGTTTTTAGGTACCTCATTAACCACATCAAATTTAGGGTAGCTAAATCAACATCATTTGCATATAATAAACTGATTCACACTGATCATGACAATCTACTACAAAGGAAGTTCTTATTTTTTAATTTATAAAATATTCTTCATAAAATTCTTTTATTCATATGACCACATCCTGATTCAGAATCCTTTGAATTGCTGACATACCATGGCTTTGACCCCTTCTGGAAACAGGAAGCGGTTGTATATAGTGTCCACAGTATCATCAGGGGAAACGTAGCACTTCTTCTGTAGGAGAATTGGTCCCGTGTCCAGTCCGTCATCTGCCCAGAAAACGGAGAACCCCCCAGTTTTATCACCCTGCATCAAGGTCCTGACACAGAAAAAGGCAATTATTAATATTGAATCCATATACAAATAAGGATTATACAAATAAGGATCATACATGAAATTTTTTTCATTCATGCTTATAATTAAAATATGTCATGTCTGAAACTAAACATAATTATAGATTCATTAGTTTTTTTTTATTTAAGAAATATGTGATCAAATCCTGTGAAGGCCGAAGGCTTCTCAGAAGATTTGATCACGTACCGACCCACTTCATTTCCCATTTTTTAAAAGTTTTTCAACTTTTTATTTATTACTTACATATACATTTGAATAAAATCGAATATAGATACTGCACTAACTGTTCGACGTAGATTTTGACAAATTACGCAAGGTGTAAATCGGCTTGAAAAGCAGTTACGCTTCAAATTCATCTTACAAAGGATTCTGTTTTGAAGGGAATATTCTGTGAAAGGCTACTTGTGATCAATTATAGTGAGCTTATTGGTGTCTGGGAATTTTTGTATTCATGAGAACCCATATTCGATATTTAAAAAACACAAGAAACACGTCCGATGTTGATAATAAAAATTGGAGGAATTTCGGTTGGAAAGGGATGGATGGAGACACTTGTCCGGACCAGTTAATTTGAAATGAAGAATAAAATTTGATCAGAAACATAAATTTTACTATTTCAGTTAGGCATATTTATCATGATGTTGATACGGATGGAGACACTGGCGACAGCTAACATTGTTAAGACAATGATCTCGATAATGGAGGTATGCCTACTAAACTTCCGAAGTGTTTGTAAGCTGTTTGTGGCAAGATTGCATTACTTTGATATTTCCAACAGATTTTCAAATTTATTGTGAATAAAGTTTAATGAAAAAAATTATAACACTCAGAGGTCTACAAGAAAAATTAGGGTAAACGTTGAAACTATGCAGCTCAGAAATGAAACTTATAACACGTAGTTTTCTATTCTCTATGTAAAATCGATCAAGAACTGTATTGAATACTTGTTTACATTGTAAATAAAATGATTATTATTTTACTCGTGTATTTTGTACATTTTTATATATGAAAAGCATGCTATATTGCTAAGTAAAGTAAGTCTTTTTTATGTACATATTACTGCGCTGTGTTATTAATTCACATAATGACCTATAACCTTCGAAAAACTTCATACAGGTATGAAGATATTTGTACCTGTATACTTATATCTAATAGAGAGATACCACAAATGTATATATTCATAATTGAGTCTTTATCTGATTAAATGTCACTGCAATGCATGTATAAGGAAATTTACCTTGAATGAATTTATTAATAAATTCATCTACACTAGCGAAGGATTTCTAATCCGCTACTCTCCTGGCCACCCTTTGGCATATGGTGTGATCAAAAGTCCGGATTGTTTACATCACATGATCTTAAATCTTACCACATATGCACAGCTTGTTTCATCGACACAAATAAAAAGAGTTCTTAAAAATTAAAGTATTGAAAGAATAATTAACAAGCAGGTATCGGACGATGTTTATTTGTTATTTAGGGTGCAAATCTATATCTGCAATATAGATTCCTGATCACATAATGTGCATATCAGCTAAAGTTGGATAACGTACACCACAGCTATAAAATGGCATGTTATCTTACAGATTGTGTACATGTGTTTTTCATTCCCGAGACCACAGAGTCAAGATATATCCTGAATGGAGCTACTGACATTTACAAAAGCAATTGCTGATTGGATGAATGATATAAATTAACTCCAAAGACAGTTCAAGAAAATCCCTTTGGTTTGCGAGGAGAGTTGCAGATCAGAAAAACCTTGGCTATCAAGGATGTAATAAATTTGAATGATGATTTTTTTTTACTTTGTTTTATAAATAGAGCATTAGTGATTAGATTAGATGGTTTACGCATACCAGTTAATGGCTGATGCTCCCCGATGCCTTGGAAGGAGGGAGGGGTGGTAAATTATGGATTGGTACTTAGGGTAGTTGATGACATCCATGGGGATGAACTGAGAGCAGAATGGGAGGACATTTAGCTCTGCCCCCACAGATTTGTACTCCTCCAGAATCTCAGGGACAGCAACCTTCTTCACTTGCCATCTCTTATACTTAAATACAGGGATGTTGTCCTTAGCTGCTGCCAGGGCTGTACAATGGACAAAACAGAAATTAATCTCTGTCCACAATTAAAAATATACTTTACCTACAATAATATAAAATGTACTGAATTGAGAAATTGCATTTTTTCTCAAAGGAAAATTTGGTGTCTTAATTTATTTAACTTAACTAATTTTTTAATAAACTGCTATGTATCTATGCATTTTTCTGTTCAAAATCAATGGTGCATCTTGCACAAGGAAATATTATGGCTTCATAGATATATTTAGCTATAAGATAGGAAGTACCCTGTATACACAATAAAGGTACACATGTTAAGTAGGATATCAGATGTTCTAGATAAGTTTAACCCTAATCTACATAATACTATTTTGGGAAGGTTGAGAGGCTCTTGGTAATGATCCACTTTATCAAGGTTAAATTTGACAATGCCTCCAGCATATTTTGACACATCATAAACAATTTACCTGGTCAACCTGGTCAAAATAATAACATTAAGAACAGACTATAACAAGTAAATGTAGATTTGTAATCCAGAGTTCCATCAATGAACAGTGACATTGTGTCCATTGTCAGCCTTGTACTTCATTTTATCATGTTTTGAACCTTATCTTCTATGCTAATCATTGAGTCTCAGAATTTTAAAATTTGGGAAAAACAACCCCCACTCAGTCTGTCTAAATACTTTGATTTCTCATTGGCATCCACTCCCCTGCATTACTGATCTGAAGACTCTGAACAGAAACCTAACCATCATTAAATTTTACAGAAAAAATTCTACAACATTACTTAGCTCTTGACGAACAAGATGAATTGATTTAGCCTGAATCTGAAACATTTCTCTTATAATTTATATACACAATTATTGTGTATTCCAGTTATATATACAATTTTTTCCCAAATTTCAATTAGAAAATTCCCCATAATGTTAAATAACATAAATGTAAATAAAATATTAGAGTGTCCAAAAACTGAAAGTAAATAAGTTTAAAAAAAATTAAGAAGAATGTATAATAATTATTATAAATTTAAATTCAAACATATCATATTTGTACTGTTTTGCACTATTGTATTGAAAATGTTTACCTAATATGGTAAAAAATGTTTCTAACTTTAAAATTTCAAGGGATCCCCCCCAAAAAAATATTATGTGGTAATAACCATGTACTTTATTCTGTAAACAAGACATAACTATGCAATATAATAGTTCTATATTGACATTAAGTGACACCCATCTTTTTCTACTATTTTCCCTACAATTTTAAGAGTTTGTACTAGGACTTTACCCAGTGGGTCTGGTTTGCCATTGACATCAGGAACAGTAAACACCCCTACGATGTGATGCCCGTCCTTCTGTAGCAGTCGATAAACCTCTGCCCCAAACAGACTCTGACCAATCACTGCAACCTTCATTCTGTTGTACCAAGACTGTCAATATAAAATCAATCTATCAATAAAAAGGATATCAAAATCATTACCCAAAAATGCTTAAACATGCAAACAATGATTTTTCATTTAATTTTGATTTAGGCTTCTACCAATTCATAAATATATTTACTGGTTTTACATAAATCGTGATTTTTCTGTGCGATTCCTTAAAAAAAAATTCTACGTTTACAACCTCATGGACTATACTAGCTGTAACAAAAGTTTTACTGTGAACCGATGAGTTTTACAATTTACTGTCAGATGGCACCTGCATACTTACAGCTAAAATGGGGAAATAAACCCCTTGCGGTTTTTCAATGTACTGCCTGTTACATGTAAAAATGTAAGTAATATGTATTTCAATTCTAAAGTTCAAGAGGTTATGATTGGATTCTTTTCACTCATGCATATAAATCACAAAGTGCTATGTGCTTTGATCAGAATATACAATGCATTATGCTTGCATGGTCAAATTAATGCTGCAGTACATCAGGTCTGCATGCCTTCATAAACTTCCAAAATTGATCTTCATATTTTTTTTTAGTAATAAAAACTGCTCAAAAAATCATCACTTGCTAGCTTGCCCCTGTTAAAAATGCTAAATGTCTGCATAATGATTTATATATTATGTAATTCACTTATCCTTCAAAACATATTCAACAGCATGCACGTGCTTACAGCTAGGGTCATTAGTGAGGATACGATCCTGACCCAATTTACATGGTGCCATCTAAATCTGCATTATATATACAGCAAACATTTCAACATTAATTTTCACTTTAATTAATAATATTTTTTTTTACATGCCCTTACTCTGGAATGATTTATAACACACTCTAAGAAAAAAATATATATATTATGCATGCCATATATTTATATACAGACTACATTCCCTTGCATGATATTTTTTGATAAACATATATACCTACAAAATAAACTTAAAATCAATTCTTACTTCAAATCATAAAACCCTTGCAAGCCTTCAGGAGATTCGATCATCAAAGATTATACAATAAATAACAGCTAGCCTACCTTATCTAACTCTGTTGCAGGTTTATAAAGTAGAGCAGACTAGTTAAATTCCAGCACTGTTTACAAACAGGCCTTGTGCAAATGTAACATGGGTTAACCCTAAACGTGGATTACAAACTGGTGGTCTGGTCACATGATCAACAGCAGTCTGACATATATATATATCCTGTTTATTGTGAATGACAAAGGGGATTAACTCTGTGTGTAAACATTTACCTGTGGAGCTTTGACACAATTGCAAACTGTTATGTAACATTAAATAATGTTTTATCAAGTGCTATCTCTTGTTTGAACGAATCTGAATTTTTAATCTGATACCACCCCCCACCCCCCACCCCCACCCCAAAAGATAATTTATAAAGATTTTTTAAATCATATTATGTACATCTTATGAATTTAAATTTTAATATTCTCTGTAAATTGTTTTTTTTTTTTATTTTGAAGTCATCATCTTAATTTCTACAAATCTATATCTTTCGTAAATAATTTTTTTAAAAAATTCTAATAATACTGAATCTACAGGCTTGTCATGCACTTACCAAGATCAAATTTTAAAATGTACTTTACTCTTTTATACATGGGTAAAAATAAATAATTTCTATAGTTATAATGAAATAATCAATTAAAATTTTAACTCTGACATATATTATTCCTATATATTTGATACTAAACTGTTGCAATGCTACTTATAAATTTTCCTAAAAATGTTATATAAATACATGTATAGTATTGCCTATTGCAAAATGCATATTTATTTTAATATTTATTCAGTAACGAGTTTGTAAAGTGATGATCAAAAAGAGTGCCAATTAAACATCTTCAAGCTAGCTGTCACAGAATTTTCAAGTTCAATATTTATGACATTCAAGAAATTCCTCCTCCTAGAATGTCTGCACTCAATATTTTCTGGGGAAAAAAAACTGCTTGAAAATCAACATTTTTATACCAAATGTTCAAAAATGGCAGGAAAAGGTGACCTTCATGATTTGAGAGTTGATACTTGAAGAGATATTACATGTAACACAACAGTACACACAGGGATATGCCTGGCTGTTTTTTCTATTTTGCACCTTTTAAATAAAGGAGCAGCTTCCACAAAATCAAGTACATCGCTAAATGTCTTAATTGTGTAAAGCACATTCAGAAAGGACTAAATAAAATCTTGCTAACTTGCTGAAAAATAAATTTCTGCCAAATATTGTACACGCCTAATGCATTTACATTTTATTCAACATACAGTGTTTTCCCTTTATTTCAAAGTAAAGGGTTAGAGGTCAATTGCAACAGACTAGGGGTTGAGGCTATGAACAAAATCGTTGTCCACCTTACAAGAATTATTTTTCTAAGTGGCATTTTTATCTATTGAAGCAGTTAATTTGGCTGGTAGCTGATTCTTACAGATAACAATCGAAGATCTACTGTTTTTCAAGGGGTTGTAACAGTTGCTCTACATGATATAGAATTCAGAACAACATATCAGAGAGCTACAGATCCTCCCACTGAGAAAACCTTGATTTATGGTGACAATTTTTGTTACAAGCTTCAGGTATTATTTCTCACATTATATATGACTTCCCCCATCTAATGTAAAGGTACAGGCAAGATTCAGGTGGGGTATCTCCTGGAATGCAACCCCTCTAAAACCAGAAAAATATAGTCTCCAATGTGAATTAGGTAAAATTACAGTTGTTTATGTGTTCAAGTAAGCTTCTCTAATTGCTGATTATTAGAAGCATACCAGGGCTAAATCCCCAGGCCAACCACCTGACATTGTCCTTGACCCACTGAAGACCCTGGCATCACCCAGAATCCTTGCCATCCATTATAGCACCCCCTTCTAATTCAAAATCTTGGAACTCCCCCATAATGTATATTTTATTCCTACTCTTATAGGCTTATTACTTTTTACTTTCACTGATTCCAAATGGCCCTCTGTAACCATTTCTACTCTGATAAAGGGGCATAACTCTCACCATTGTTTCACCTGCTTATTTTCAAAACTGCCATAAATTTGGAACTGTTTACAGGTAAATGAAGTTACCATAGGTTTAAAAATATATCTAAAAGACACCATGCTTTAGGCAAGGAAATCCATCTAATGCCAGAAATTATACCCAAAGCTTGCAACAAGACTTACAGGTGTTGCTGTAAATTAAAGGGTTTTTTTTTTTCAATGTGTGGATCTGTACTGCTCTTGAACATGCATGTCTTTCAGAATTATTATATTACAGGTCTAATCCTGGCTGTGCTTCAGCCTTGCCAAGAGTTCTAAGGAACTCCAAAAATGGATATTCAAACAGTTCAAGAGTCAATAACTGGGATTCCATTGGGATCCAACTGATTATTTCAATATATGTTAAAAACAAAAATAACTGGAATGTATATTATTTATTTTAATTCAGTGCTTTTCACCGTTTATTGTTTCATGATCTTTCTCCTTTCTCTAATTCCTGGTTGTTTAAATAATTTATGAAAATGTCCCAGACTAAGGTCGCCCTTAACAGGTGAAACTGAATGGTTTAATTTAAAAAAAAAAAAAAACTCCAACATTCCAGTTTACCAAAACTGCAAAAGATATCTTTACGTAGGAGAAATAATCATGACATGACAATACAAAATCACAACAATTTCAAGAAGAACACAGGACTGTTGTCATGGTTATTCTTTGGTCCAGATGGAATTATGACACAAGGTCTTGTAGCATATGTGGCATCACATGATCAAGAATGAAGACCCTCCAAAATCGTCATCAAACTTCCACTCTCAGAAGAGATCAAATTTATCACAAAGCGAATAAAGTTTCCCATTTTCGTGTTAAATTCTTAAAGACGTCTTTTAGATCATTTTTGCCAATTTCAAGGAACACTGCAGTCCATCTGGTGTGTTGCTGCAGGTGCACGCTCAACAGTTTTCCTAATAATGGCGCGAAAATATCTTAACGACCTAATATTTTGTTATCTATACATTACCTGTGAGGTAGAAAATAGACGGGCAAATTGTCTCGATGCAAACATTCTATCTGGGTCAGTTTATCAGTTAGGTTTACCCTTCTATCATGTCCCCAGACGTTCGAAGAGTATGGTTGGCGGTCAAGGTCGTTTGACGTGCCAAGTTCTTACGGGATATTTGATTGGTTGCTAGAACGCACACCTACAGTAGAGGATGAGTTATTTTCTCCTGCTCTTATTAACGTGGCGCCTCGATGTTTACGAGGGAGCAACTATTTTTTTGTGAGTTTTATCCATGTGTCTGTATGCTTGTTTGTCAGATAAATTTGAAAAGAAAAAAAATAAACATAGACCCATAGGTTCATACCCCACTGCGTCTTTACACCAGAAGTGCAAGATCGTGGATTGTTAAATGTAAAATAAATAAATAAAATTTTGAATCTACTTAAAAGTTGTTAAAAATTATGACACTTTCAGTAAAAAAAAAAAAAAAAAAAAAAAAAAAAAAAAAAACACGTTTAAAAAAGACTTACCACACCTTTATAAATAAAGTCTAGTTTCTACACTTTTAAGTATATTTAAAGTTGATTCAAAATATTAAAATTTATTTTACACTTAACAATCATAGGCACTCCCCAGCTTAATTGTTAAAAAAATATATATCTACTATACTATAAACATAACATGTTTATAGTATAGTAGATATATATTTTTTTAACAATTAAGCTGGGGAGTGCCTATGTTAACAATCCGGAAGACAAGACCTCTATGTATTGCTTGTCTTCCGGTTTGTTAAATGTAAATTAAATTTTTAAAAATTTTGAATCTTCTTTAAATATATTTAAAAGTTGTTAAAATAGAGATTCTGACACTTTCAGTAAAGAAAAGCCACGTTTGAAAAAGACGCACCACAACTATATACATAAACTCTAGTTTACGTCTTTTTTAAACGTATTTTTTCTTGACTGAAAGAGTCAGAATCTTTATTTCAACAACTTTTAAAATTTAACAATCCGAAAGACAAGCCCCTATGTATTGAACATTTTAAAAGAAATAAAAATAAAATAATTGTCAATATTAAGTGGGAATTGTGTCATTGTGCGGTACTTTTTCTTTTGATGTTAGCCATACTTTAAATCGAAAACCTTTGGCTGAATTCCAACGTATTATAACTTCTAGGGGGCGGAGCTTAGCCGTACAATAACTTCCAAAAGAACTCAATACTTTTTGAATATTTTTTCTTCAATTTCTGTAAGCATATAAAACCTATCCAGAGGAAAAATGAGAAACCTCACAAAATTCAACACCCCCCCCCCCCTCCCCCCTCTTCAATCTGAAAATGCATATACGTGAAAACCATTTTCAAGAGGATTAATACATGTAAAGTCATTAGTTAACTAATTTAAACAAAAAATTTTAAAAATACACAGAATTTCACGAAATACTTGTATTCAAATTAAAACAGATAACTGAAATCTAACAATATTGAAAACGCACAATTTGATTCCCTTAATAGCAACTGTTTTCTGAGGTCTTTGAGTTACATTCAAACTGATACATGTTCGATCGTATATACATGTATTTGGACTATTTCACACGACATTCCATAATTTTGATACCTGTGGCTAGAGTACTTGACTCGGATTTCCTCAGGACATGCAGGCGTATCGATCCATATTAACGGTAATGTAGAGGGTCATAGTGCGGGCGGATCCAGGTTTCCAGTATTGTGCCTGTATTTGTTATGGTTTTTGAAATACTCACACTGCTTAAATTAACCCATCAAATACAACTGCACACTCGTTTAACATTGCTTGATTTTTCAATGCAACCATCTCTTTCGTACTTTCTGCTTTGTTTGAACACCCCGGTGTACACTTACGATGGACCTAAGCTTATGACGTAATGTAGCGAGCAGTTTGGTGCTGAAGGAGTGACTATGCTAATGACCATGACACAAGACATTTACAGACACTTTCTTTCGTTTGTAAGGAATTTATTGTACAGAGAGGCGTGACAGTCTCGTCGCTGCGCGACTCGACTGCCACGCCTCTCTGTACAATAAATCCATTACAAACGAAAGAAAGTACTGTAAATATAACTTAACGACAAATATTTTTATGTCCCAGAAACATTTTTTTAACAAATGGGGAAATTTTAATTATATATATATACGTTGCAGCGAGTTTAAGTGTACTAGTGTCGTTTACCGATTTTTATGCCATATGTGTTTATTTTTATTTTCAAATAAAAATCATGTAGTAAACGACACTTGTATTTAAATATTTGTACAATGGGAAGCCGGATTTTGTTTTCAGATACTTCCAACGTACAAGTTTGCTTTAAATTTTTTTAGGAGGGGGGTGGGGGTGGGGTGCGGATACAAAGGGAGGTTACGGTGATTGGAACCCCCCTTTATTTTTGCCAAGTTGAGAAAGAAAATATAAAATGTGTTTCCTGGAATGAATATTATTACGTGCTTTGAATGAAAAAAGTAGTTCAAAACAACTCTGCAATCTTTGCTCATTCCACTTGCTAGACTGAAACTCGCACATTTGCTGTCATCCGTTTAACTTAATTCAGTCTCCCCGGGGCACAACACCCCCATGCTTACTTTTTTTTTTTAAATTGTATGAATCCTACGAAGGCCCATTGAGCTCATTTTCGTAGATAAAAAAAATATATTTTTCGCGTTATAACGCGAAACTTTCGCGAATAAACGCGTAACTTTCGCGTTATAACGCGTAACTTTCGCGAATAAACGCGAAACTTTCGCGAATAAACGCGTAACTTTCGCGTTATAACGCGTAACTTTCGCGAATAAACGCGAAACTTTCGCGAATAAACGCGTAACTTTCGCGTTATAACGCGTTACTTTCGCGAATAAACACGAAACTTTCGCGTTATAACGCGAAATTATACATATATAGTCATGTTACTCAGGAACCTGTGATCTTGACTGACAGATAAAAAACATGAACGCAGAGGGGGACTTCTATGAATTTATAAATGACATTTCTTCAGAAGATGTAAAAGAGAATTGATGCGAGAAATGGATAGATTAGTGTTGATTTTGCATTTAATCTCAAAACCCTACTAATTAATTAAATGAATATTCCTTTAAAGACTTTCTTGTTTTTCACTTGTTGAATCCAAGAAATTCTGTAGACTAATTTTTTTTCTCAGGAAGATCTCCACTCGTTGCTTTCTTTGAATAAATTGTCAATGTTTTCGTAAGTAATGGTATGACCAAATGGTGCAACCTTAAAATACAATGTTGCATTTCTTCAGTGAGTCTATCGGAGATGAAATATTTGATACGAATATTTGTCATCCAATTTTCACATTAGGTTACTCATGTGATGTGAAACAATTGTTCCGTGAAATACAAATTTACCTCGTTGTCAATTTTCTGAGATCTTTTATTTCAAATTCTATATAGAGTGTTCAATCTAATTAAAATTAGACTTATATTTTCGCTCCTCTACTATACGCTTCAACACTTGTATTGAACAGCATTGAGAAAGACAAAATGTGACGGCTAAAAAGTTTTAGAAAGAGGAAAGACACATTCAATGGAGAGAAAACATAAAATTTCAGCTCTTGATAATCCAAGTTCAAAATAGTCTTTTGTTCTTCACTGTAATGAATAAACTAGATCATTAAAAAGTAAAACTGTAGACTTATGCAAATGTCTCTGTTTTACAGGGAAAGTTTCGCGTTATAACGCGAAAGTTTCGCGTTTATTCGCGAAAGTTTCGCGTTATAACGCGAGAGTTACGCGTTTATTCGCGAAAGTTTCGCGTTATAACGCGAAAATTACGCGTTTATTCGCGAAAGTTTCGCGTTTATTCGCGAAAGTAACGCGTTATAACGCGAAAGTTTCGCGTTTATTCGCGAAAGTTTCGCGTTATAACGCGAAAAATATATTTTTTTATCTACGAAAATGAGCTCAATGGGTTTTCGTAGAATCCTTCCAATTCTACGGATGTTTCAGAAATTATTTTAACCGGTGAATCTGAGTGAACTCCAAGTGGTGACAGCATTACCGGTATATGAATACTGCGTGTAGTTGAGGGTAACATTGAACTGAAATTTTCACCCCAAGAAAATCATTGTTAACCAAGGCGCAGCCAATTATTTTGGGGGTAGGGCTTCGTCCCCCTTTTTTCCTACGGCCATGCATGCATTATTTGTATCTAATTAAGTCATTATATTAAAGGGAGTATGCACAAGAGGGTTTTTCTCTCCTTGTGTATATGATTATATGTTTAAGTGTGGGGAACCTGACACCCCCCCCCCTTGAAAAAAATGCTGGATCCGTCAATGAAGGGGGGGGGGTCGATCTATCTTTGCAAGCCCATTGACTTTTCAGTTCACTGTGCTCCCCACATTGCATGTGAAGCTTATAGTTTAACGGATCGAAACCTTTAGCTCGTGAATGGGGGGGTGCATTAATTCAACACTTATTGCGTCTCGTCTCCTCTGAAAAATCCTTGAACCGCCGTGGACTGCATAGGATTTTTTTTTAAATTACATTTTATCTTCCCCTAACTGAATAGGCTCATACATTCTAGTGAAAATTAGATACAAATGACGCACAAATAAAATATAAAAATAAAGAATACTAGTATACATGTACTAAACATATAGACCGTGGCAAACTACTCACTCATGTTTAAAAATTGTAAAATGTACAGAACAATTCGAAACCAGCTTTCAGAACAAAAACATGAACCCTGTTTAAAGATAAAGAAGGTAAACTGACTTTTTTAAACTCCATCAATGTCTGCAGTATATATTTACATTTAACGAAAGTTTTGGAATAGAATTTCTGATATTAATTATCTCGAGATGATCTGAAGAAGATTGAATTCGATCTTTGGGTGGGTCCCTTTTTTAGTATATTGCAAAATAGCAGGGTCACAATACAATAATGAGAGAGAGAGGTTTGTGGACTATACATAAAATTCCCCTCGGAGCTAGATTTCCATATGCTGTAACCAAGACTATTCGGTTCAAATGGCAGGCATCTGCAGCCAACACAGTGTGTCATTTTAATGTTGCATAATATGCTAGCACCAATTTTTTTCCACTGATAAATGGTTCATTTTAAATTGATATAAACATGTGGATTTATATGTACCATAAAGTAAGACATCTTTACTGAAAATCGATTGGGTGCATCAGTATGATCAATCTTATATTTGGATGATGATTATCCTCATGGTTTGTAGGTTATGACATATACAAAAGAACCAACATTGGATCCCCGTTACGACATTGTATTCACCAACCAATTGCATGGTTTTTCAATAGGCATTCACGTCCCTCCAGAGGCTCCCTACAGGGTTGTTATAGATCTTGCTTATACATATTATTCTAAAGGAATATGTTCACCAAGGACAACATACAGTATTTGCATCTTTTTATTTTTGTTAATCAGGTCCTGTTAATGAGTAATGACATGTCAAAAGTAATTTTGTTTGTTTGAATTGCGCGTTGACGTGTTCGATAAAGATACTTAGGGGCAGGTAACTGCATTTGAAGTTATCTTTCAGGGTGCGTTCGTTTCACTGTTCAGAACACTCTGAACGGACAGAACAGCAAAAAAAAAAATGAAAATGAACACTGTCCGGAACATGTTCTCTTTGTACCCGCGAAATAGTTGGTGTAGAGAGAACAGTGACGTCACTAACATGGCGGATTCATGGTATCACTGCAGCTGCGCATGCGGGATTTATTTTGCAACGGAAGCCAGATACCAGAGACACCAATGCTTCCAGACAAATAATGCCGATAGGTCCAATTACGGTAATTTTTGCTTGTATGTATAATTAGTTATTTATATTTGATTAATTAGAGCAAAAAGACAAAAAAAAATCTTATTGTAGAACCACGTGCAGAATGTAATAATCCAAAAGCGCGTTGTGTGACCCCCCACCCCCACCCCCACCACCACCACCACACACATACATACAAAAAGCAATTGGAAATAAAATGTGATGTTTTAAATTATTTAATTGTTTGCTTTTAAAATAGAGAATGATATTCCTTTAAAAGTTTTCCGTTTAACTAAGGGGAAAGTGCGCAACTTTAGCCAATATTGAACTGGTTTAGAAAATAACGTATAAAAATGTTTATCAGCTGTCTATTTAAATGTTGAAAGGATAATTAAAAGTATATGCACACTCAACTAAAATAGCCCCAAAGTGGAATTTTTTTAGTCATGTCAGAGGAAAAACTTGCGTATCTGCTGATCAGTATTAATTTTATTTAAGTAATCATCCATGAAATCAATAAATAGGATAATAACAAAAATCTCTAATTTTATTTATAGAGAGAGCCGAAAAAGCGAAAACGAACATGGAGAGTAAAACATTTTTTCAGTGTGAAGAATGTGGGGATTTTTTCGACAGCATGACCGTTTTCCAAAACCATGCATGTGCTCGTGCACGCGTTGATCACCAAGGGCCCACCGCCCAAGAGCAGTGTGATGCCAGAGAACCACCCAAAGATGAAAAAGGTAATAACTACGGTAATTCTTGGACAAGAAATGCAACTTTGCTGCTAATAGACTTGTATAAAAAATACAAGGACCAAATCCAGAGTGGCAAAATTAGGAAAAAAGGTTGTGTGGGAAAAAATAACAAACCAGATGAGGGATATTCGTTCAATTCTGAACAACTTGCTGGTAGATGGAAGTCTTTGTTAAGGGCCTACAAAAATGTAAAAGATCACAGTAAGAAATCTGGGAGTGGAAAGAAAACATACAAATATGAAAATGAGCTGAATGACATACTAGGTAATGATCCTATAATAAACCCCACATTTACACTCTCATCTGACGCATCCAGTTCCGCTGCTGAAAAAAGAAAATTAGATGAAAGCGAACACAGTGACGTTGAGACATCCAGTGAACAATCATCATGTAGTACATCTGCACCGAAGAAAAAACTCACAAAAGGGGGGACAGAAAGACAGAGAAATGAAATGATGCAGGTTTTTAAAGAATATCAAAAAGAAGAGCAAAAAGAAGAAAGAATTCGGAGAGAGAAACTACAGAGAGAAAAAATGGGCCTGATGCGAGAATTAATCGATGTTATGAAAGAAAGCACAAAGAAATAATAAACGACATTGGTAATGCGAAAGTATGAACAGAAACAGTATTTAATTTAGTATAGTGTCTGGTAAATTTTAGATATGATCTTGATTTGAAGCAAATCTAGAAATGATCATGGGTTTAAAAAAAACAGGATAGACAGACCCATATCAACATTCTCTGTTTTCACTAAAAATTTATTTAATTGTAATTTTTTTTTTTTTGGGGGGGGGGGGTGATGTCAGACAATAATCACCATCAACATTTTAAAATGTTCATTATTTTTACTCTCTTTTCAGAATGTGTGATCTGCATGGATGCAGCTCCTGATTGTGTTTTATGTGACTGTGGTCATTTGGTCACATGTATGGAATGTGGGAAGAAAATAACAATTTGTCCACTCTGTCGAGTGGAGATAAAACAAAGAATCAAAGTTTTTATGTAAAGTTCATTACTTGTTTTCATTGTGTAATAGATAGTGTTAAGAGAGTAAGATAAAATAGACGTTTTTTTTTATGCTCCAGGTTGGAGGGTACTGTATAAGTTCATGTTAAATTTTATTACTAATTTTAAGGATTTATAAAATATTTGTATGTCCAAAGCTCTCGAATGTTGGATTATATGATGGGTGTTATATTGGAAAAAAAAAATGATTGTCTTTATTTCATTCTCGTAAATGCATTTTTTTTAATTTATTGAGTGGTAAGTAACCATGTCTTTCTTCATTGTTCATTGTCATATACTTGATAAAACGTTTTAAGATTTTAATTTCTTTTAATTGTATTTCAACTTAAAGAGGATAAGCAGCATACTACATGTGCATACCATTGGTTCAAGCAAGTTAAACAATATTTTTTTGTGCATAATGTCAAATGTTCACTGAGTCTTCTGCAAAGAATGTTGCGTTTAATAAAGCCCCCCGTCTCATTTTCCTGAACAGCCAGTTGAGGCACTGGCGATTGATCAACTTCCAGTGGTTCCATATAGTCCTCAATATCCTCATTTTGAAGAAGACAAATATTGTGCAGAACACAAGTGCACATGATAATTTTAACTGCTGTTGGAATACTTAGTACATCGAGATGATGTAAACGTCGAAACCTGCCTTTTAAAAGTCCAAATGCTCTCTCAATGCAACAAATGTCCATTGTCACGATAAGGCGTCATAAGCCATCGTCGCACGGGGTAAGCTCCGTCTGCAATAATGTGGTTTCCGTTACAGACCTCTAAGCCAGACTTCCACAAATCGGAATTCCTCAAGACACGGGCATCGTGACAACTCCCTGCATCGAGTTCATGACAATTCTGCAAATAGCCTTTAACTGTGTCGAAAGTAGGACGAGATAGTCTAAACATCCTCTTGAAGTCGGTATCTGAGTACTTTGAGACCACATCCTCGCAACAGTTTTTAATTCTACTTTTTGGTTCTCTGGTGTAACTAAAAAAATTTAAAGAAAATTCAAAATAAAGCAAAATACCCTCTGTTTCATGTTCAATAAAAAAAGAATAAAGCTAAATTTTTTTCATCTGTACTACAGTGTATATTGATACAAATATTTCTGAGCTCGTTACTTTCTTAATTAAAATTATTGTCTCCCGAGAAATTCAGTACATAAAGCGCAGATACTATAAATTTTTATACTAGTTAAGCATTTCAATTCAGCATTAAATCACGAACGCATCCAGATTTTTTTTTGGGGGGGGGGGGTATAATCTCGATAAACACCCAAAGAAGAAATTTCGAAAACAAAACTTTTTGACAGGCCAAAAAAAAGCACATGGAAAACTTGTCCAATTTTCTCCTAAATCCTAACCCTAGTTGTATTTCGAATGGGATTGGGGGGGGGGGGGGGGTTCAACTCAAATTTTTAAAAAACAAGGTTGAAAGGCAGTATTTGCATTTCAAATATATTGCACCAAATTTTGACTTCCATGTACTCAGAAGCCAGTGTTTAAATAATTAATTCCAAATGAGGCCTTTTGTACTGTTGGAAGACAGTTGATCCTCTCATTTCAAAGGCAATTCTTTACACAATCATATCAAAAATGCTTTTACTAACGTTTGTATAACATGCACCATCATCGCAGTTGCAATTACATCATCTTCGTCACTGTTATCGTCATCGTCGAGAAACTCTTGCACAAGCGGTAAACACATCCATTTCAGGGTCGCCATACTGTTTAATCTACTTCCTGTTCTTATTCATTTGTTTGGACGTCTGTCCGGAACTTGTGCAGACATATTCAGAACAGTGAAACGAACGCACCCTCACTGTTCAAATACTGTAATCCGTTGAAGTGTGACCATTGATAAAGTAACTTTGCCCGGACTTCGCGTTCGAACTGTCCAAGGGAATTCTGTGGAGTAGTACAGTCAGAACATCAGTATACAGGTACGTACTACTATCCACAACACACTAGGCACGTAGTATTAAGAGAGTAGGGATGGTCCCCACTTTTTTCCTTCAGAATGTTGTTTAGTTGTTAATTTCAACGACAGGTTGGTCCCCCCCCCTCCGCTAAATTTTTGTCAAACTATGGATGAATACTGTCGAAAAAATATCACAAAGTTAAAACACCCACCCTTCATCCAAAATAGGATTTTCAGTTATGTATAATGGGTTATTGTTTCTGGCTTCATTCCCCCTCTTTGGAAAACGATACCACGTGCCTGTACACACATTGTTGTTAGGTTAATTTAATAGATACCTTTAATCGGGTTACAATGTACATTCTACGATTGAAGGTAGAGATGTTCAGTTGTTCTGAGGAAGACAAATAAATTGCACGTACAATTGCAAAGTAAAAAATAAATTATGATTATTGTTGAAACCCGTCCTGAATAACTAGAAATTGCTCACAAAGCAAGATGGAAAGATGTAGGCAACTATATTCACTGTCATTTACCAGGCCAAGGTCAAAGGTCAAGGCCAACTTTGGAGAGTTTGAGTAAAGCATATACAGCTAAATGATAATAAAAAAAGGGCGATTTCAGAAAAACACATTGCACGTCATTCATAATCATGACAAGGTCAACTATATAAAAGACATAATATATAACAGGTTTTTGGGTACGAAATAGACATAACCTGTTAAGTGTTATGGATCGAATATTTTATTGCCTAATACTGTTCAGATCAAAAACCTGTTCAATATAAAAGATAAATTAACAAATAAGACCCTGAAAGTAAATGTTTTAACGAGAAGGGGGTTCTTTTTTGTGCAAACCTCTATATATAAGTACTACGACACACGCCCTCGCTTTATACAGACGAATCTCCATGTCCCTCAATGGGACTGGAACCTGTGACCTAAGATTCGACTGACTGACGGACAGACAACTTATTTTCCTTGCAATCAGGCCCAAGATCGCATGAATGTCAGTGTGTGATATCATACATTAAATCGTATAATGATGTTTCATTTTAAAAATACATGAATGACTTTGGATAATAAATCAAAAAGTAGAGCCAGAAAAGGCAACAACAGGTGCTCGCTATTGCTAACCGCCACCAGCAAGACAACTCATTGAAGAGCTGTCATGGCAGGGTCACATTCTCCGTTAATCACATTTGAATTTTGAATACAGATGTTGTAATACAGATGCCAATAGCAAAATAATATAGAAATAAAATAATGTAAGTCAATATTTTAATCATTACTTATGGGGCTCCGTCCAACGGTTAGGTGAGTTTTATGCGGAAGCATTCATTATAATTAAATATGTATGTTGTCTTTGCGTCTCTATCAAGCAAATCTCAATCTATCAAATTCTACATCCCAGAAAAAAAATGAATCGCAGTGCAATCTGAATTTAAAATTATATTCTGTTCCACCTTGTCAAAATCAATCGAAAATCAAACCTCTTCAGAAGCTGTTTTTGGAAGAGCTTTCGGGGTAGCATATCATTCGGAATGCCTGCAAAAAGTAACGAAGATACGGAAGCGTATTAGTGCCACGTAATATTTTTTTGAAGTTGGTAATTCCAACTTTTAAGTTGGCTTTTCCAACTATAAAGTTGGCTTTTCCAACTTTAAAGTTGATAATTCATACTTTAATCATGGCTTTTCCAACTATAAAGTTGGCTTTTCCAACTTTAAAGTTGGTAATTCATACTTTAATCATGGCTTTTCCAACTTTAAAGTTGGTAACTCCAACGTTAAAGTTGGTGATTCCAACTTTAATCTTGGCTTTTCCAACTTTAAAATTGGTAATTCCAATTTTAAAGTTGGTAATTCCATTAATTGTGGCTTTTCCATATTTGTACGGTTTTATGCGTTATATTCAGATACTTTATAGTAGGACTCGCGAGCCGATAGATGCATGGAATAACAATGGAAAGAAACGATTTAATTATGATGAAAGAAGGAATTATTTCATTATGTGTTCATGTACAGAATTGATACATTTAGTTCAGTTGTAGTATTTGTAATATTTATTCATCCTATATACTGGTATCAAACACCTCATAATCGTCTCATTTGTTAAAGCTTATTCTCTCATACAAAACAAAATACTATAGTATATGTCTGTGATCTCTTAAATAAGTTTGGTTGAAATCCTGTCATGCACGGATTTGTATGAAGTTATAATCTATATAAAAGATGGACAAAAAGAAATATTTCATTAAGGGTTTTAAAGTTGGAAGTTATATGTAAGGTCATAGGGAGGTCAATTTAAAATATAATTGACACAGATTAATCGTTCAACAGTCTATTTCAGTGTATTAATTTCGCATTAATAAAGTCGGTAATAATTTAAAATAAAGGGATAAAACTAAGGAAAGGGCTAGTAAAGCTCAAATTAAAGTTGGAAAAGCCAACTTTAAAGTTGGAATTTCCAAATTTAAAGTTGGAAAAGCCAAATTTAAAGTTAGAATTACCAACTTTAAAGTTGAAATTTCCAACTTTAAAGTTGGAAAAGCCAAGACAAAAGTTGGATTTACCAACTTTAAAGTTGGAAAACCAACCTTAAAGTTGGAATTACCAACTTAAAAGTTGGAATTTCCAACTTTAATGTTGGAAAAGCCAAAAATAAAGTTGGAATTACCAACTTTAAAGTTGGAATTTCCAACATTTAAGTTGGAATTACCAACTTTGTAAAAAATATTACGTGGCACTAATACCCTTCTGTACCTTACTTTGTATGTAAAGCCTAAATTTTAAAGTACAAAAAACAATGTGTGTACATCGGCATTTCTAACTTCATTTTGTTTACTTAAATGATTACGGATTGTATAATCATATGCTAAATTGCTAAAAATGAAACCGATCACATCCTTCTTTTACGGTACGCTGTTATATATTGGCGTCTTTAAGTGCCACAGAAACAACATGGATGTGGGCAACCTCAGGATGCAGTTTATGTGAAGCTTGTTAATTTTTAATCAAATCAAATTGTACATCATTATGTAAGATTGTGTTTACATATAATTTTCTAAATTTGTTTAAAAATTCTTCTCAAAAGTGTTTTAATGAAAAACAGAAATTATATAGATATTAAATACATATATGAACATTACGTACTGAAACCCTATTTATTCGGTCAAATAAATTGATAGATCTAGGTATCATTTCAAAAATCCCGGTATGGTATCATGACATGTCAAGACAACGAACAGCCATCATGCTGAAAAGTCCAATTAATATAGCATAAACACGGACCTCTGAAAGCATTATAGGTGGGATCTAGTGCCATGAAGGAGTAAACATCCATGTCGACTGGACACACCCGCCATGGGCCCCTTGTCACGTGTTCGGTAAACGGAGAAATCCGTACTTAATTCAGTATGAAAATAATGGCCTATAACAGTTTGTATGAAAGACGTCAGTCAAAATTCTAATAAATTAAACGACAAAGGTCATTGTATCAACCATAAAATTTTGAAGAAGATGGGTGAACAAGGCGGGCGAAGTGCCTATAGTGCGACAAACATGAAGTGAAAAATAAAATCTCAATTATATAAAAATTTTCTTTGATATTTCATCTAACATTAAAGTATATTTTATGCTAAATCTCTACAATTTACAAAAATCTCACAAAGACTGAAATTATTTGCCTACGAAATAGCATACACACACTTAAGAAGACAAAAAGGATCATTTTCTCACACTTTAACAAAATTTTTCGATATGAGTGGGTCTTCGCTCCATTTTTTTGAAAGATGATCCTAAAAGTTTGCATAAAAATATACATTTTTTGGTTTACAAAAACTTGGAGCAAAGACCCACTATACCTTAAAAGTACACTTTTATGACAAAGTTTCGCAAAGCATTCGCATCTTTCCGAGAAATACTTGAAGTCCATTAAGTCAAGGGTCATATCACAAACATGATTTAAATGCCACTATTCGTCAGGGGCTGCGTGGCGTAGTGGTTAGCGTGTTAGTCTCAATACAATATGTTACTCCGTATTTTTATTGTTAGGGGGTTCGAATCCCACGAATACCATTTTATTTTTTTAATAAAAGAATAATTTTTTCCGAGATCTTTTTTCTCAGAAAAGTTTTGTTGATCATAATTTAATAAATTTCAATAATGAGAACTTTATTTTAAAGACTTAATTCATAAATTGAATATGATTCTATTAATATCGGAAGCTATAGGCATTCTGCACACCTTGTTCACCCATCTTCTTATACGAAATTGTTGATATGTTTGTATCATCAACTTATTTTCAGTAGCCTGCCTCAACACGGAGATATGAACCCCGTTTGCAGGTAATAATGGTGTATTGCTACATAAACAGAGACTGACGATTTAGATGCTGAAGACATCTTGCCTGTCATAATATAAGTTGTTAGTTTGCCATCAAACCTTTTTTTATGTTGCCATTCAAAATCTGTTTACCGGCTTAGTTATTTAATACATATTGTTAAACCTTTAAAAATTTGTTCCTATATAAATCAATACTAATAAAAGTCTAACATTTCCAATGTTTTACTGATGAGCGGGCATAAAAAAAATCGATGTTTGACCGCGGAGTGAGATATTGGACCTGTCGATGAGACATTGGACCGCTTATGTCACATACATGTAATGGGCGGGGTCAGCTAAATCTCATTTGCATTTGTTGTAGTTCGACACACATATATGTTAAAAAAATAATAAACTGTGTTGTCGGGCAAAATGCGTTTTGTCAACCCCTCGAACCAAACTGTTCTTGGGTCCGACAAAACGCATGTTGCCCTCGAACCCAGTCAATAAATGTATAGTATTTCATTTTTCTTAAGAAAGTTGATTTTATTATACATGTACATTAACATAAAGCACACTTAGTGACTTTTATTGCATTGTGAAAAAAAAAAAAACAGAAGTACGAGCAGTATCAGGGTTGTTAAGAGTTAAGCGGTCATTAAAGTTTGAGAAAATATTTATTTTAATTGCAAATTTAATAATGTGCTCCAGGGATTTTAATGGTAAAGTCTAACAAAAATTAATAGTTTGTATATCATTTAATAGATAGCATTTTCTGCGTGGTAGATATCACGTACATTGAACAGCAGCTTGATATAGGACTGGATTTATACTGCATGGTTTCATTTCCCTCGATATCTTTAGGCCATTTGGATCAATTGTATACACCGAGTACAACGAGAAATATTTACTCAGAAAAAGCTGTGTAATTTAAAGGATTGTAATCGATTAGCAAACTAATTTGAAATGTATTTTAAACGAAAAAAGAATGTTATTTATGAAATTAATATGAACATTTATTATTGATCTGATATTTCTACAAAATTTATAATGATCAATATTGTCTGTTCAAAAAGCTTTCGAACCCCCCCCCCCCCCCACTTTTCCGTCCCACCAATCAAAATCTGACTTGTTAATTTTCTAATGTTTAAATTTAATTTTCAGAACTGCAGCGCAAAAATCAATGTAGGTTGACATTGTATGTCCGTTTGTCAGTATATTTCCTTCACGTAAACTATAATCTTTGAGTTTCCAGATTTGTCAGGCTAGTAGGAGTGTAAAAAAAATCGTAATTAGCTAAGATTTTGTTGAACGATAAAATGCAAGACTGTTCAAGCATTGTTTTGACCGGGTATATAGCTATAATTTGTCCACACCGCAAAATTGCATTTCAATTAACTTAAGGGTCATTGACCCTCTGATAAGAGAGATAACTCACTGGGATAAATTATCACTATTCCTTTATAAAACTGTCAAGTTAAAAAAAGCCATTTCCATTAAATTTTGTGCCACCAAAAAAAAAAGAAAAAAAAAAGAAATGAAAGAATTACATTTCCTTTGGAAAATTAGAATGAAGGCAAATTTTTATATGAGTTTTAGAAGGGTGAACCTTAATTTTCCTTCAACAATTTTATCTAATGTTGGAGTACTGCATTTATTAGAATTATCATTACGTTGGTTAAGATGAAAAACATAAAATCATTGTTGTGTTGCGAAATAATATGTAACCGCGAGTGACAGACCATTGCAATTTTTCACAATGGTTAAAATGTAAAATTTTTAAGGTAGAGAGATCTAACAAGAAATATAGCAAAACATTCTGATTTTTTATTTACATTACTTTATTCATGTTCGTTTAGCAAAATCCCACGTAAGAGCAAGATAATTAGATTTCACCCGTTATGACCAAACAGAGACATCGCGGAATCACAACAAGTAATTTTATTACTCACGAAACCATCATATGTATAAACAACTGTTCATCAAATTCCAGTTGTGTCACTTTTACAATATTTAGAGAAACTGACTTGAACAGCTGGTCAAGGATATCGCGAATCTAAGAGGATTACTTTATTTTTTACAGGCCAGTCATGGTACAGATATTAACCTGTGTGCTACTTGTCCTGTTAGCACCATCTTTCAGCAGCATGGTATTGGCCCATTGGAGAAAGGCTCGTATCATTCGAAATACAGAGTCGGGAAAAGTGAGGGGAAATCTTACCTGGTGGGGACAGTCTTACTTAGGAATTCCGTACGGAAAGGCTGAAAGGTATACATTTATATTTCCTTTCTTATACGTAATCAATCAAAACTGCTCAGAGCAGGTCTTATTTTATTTTATTTTTTCAGTTTATTTTATCATTTCTTTAATATTCTAACATGTAGAAATAAATTTGATAGCATCTATTTGTCTATGATTTTTTTTTTGTTATACAAAAAGTATTTTTTATAGTTTTTTGATGGACAAGTAGACTTGTGAATAATAAATAAATAATTAACATTAGACAAAACTATATGTGCATTTAATGTTATTCAAAGACCAAAGCAGGCCAGCATTATGGAATCCTGCTCGACCTAAAATGTGACTACAGTGTTTTTGAGTTAAATCACTATTAAGTTGTTAAGTTTGGTGTAGTTAAAACTGGCACGTACAGGCAAATAAATAGATCTACTTTCTGAGGTGTTGCTGATTACCAGAATAACTAATCTGTGAATCAATAATCTTCCTATTTCTCTTGTTTTGAGCATCATCAATAAGTTTATTTTGTTTTATTATATGATTATTAAATTGTCCTTCCATTGATCCTTTGCAGGGTTGTATTATACTCGAAGAACATTCATTGTATGTTCGTCTGTCTGGCTGTAGTCTGGAAACTGTTCATTTCGCTTCTTCTCAAGAACAACTGATCCAAAATTCAGCCAAACTTGCCACAAAACATCCTTGCGTAAAGAGGATTTCAATATTGTTTTGAATGAATATCCACAACCTCTTTCAAAAGGAGATAAGTGAAAATAGTTAAAATATGTTGGGGCAATTTAAAAAATAACTTCTCAATTGACTCTGGACCTTAACAGAAAAAAATCTAACCTAACAATTTCATTATTTGGTTCAGATTTTCCGGTCAAGGATGGGCTCACAATATGGGCCAAAGTTTCAAAATGGAATATACAGGACTCAATTTAAATTAAAAAAAAATTCTCAAGAACAACATAGTACAACAGAGGGCCACAAACAAACACTATAGAATAACCTTCTACTTAAGAACATTGTGAACAAAATTTAAATATTTTGAACAGTTTAAACAAAATTCGTCGTCTCAGGACCACCACAATTTGTTATATCGATGTGTGAATATCCCCTACAGATGAAATTATATGTCTAAAAATACTGTATTGCCTTTGGGATGATTGGTAATCGAATTTTTATCCAAAAATACAAAAAACAAGAATGAAATAATTTTTTTTAAAGTTGAGATAAACCTCAATAAACTGTGGGGAAAAAAATTGTTAGAATGTTGGAATTTCAACTGGTTACCATATGTTTGTACATGTATATATATGTACCTGTTTCATTTGTCAGGCAGGGAATGGTGACTCGCGTAGCCATTGTTATAACCATTTTTTTTTTATTTATTTAAATTCCATTGCTTTCTTGTTCTGCAATTTGTTCGTTTCTTTCTATTTGTTAAATTTGTTTCTTTTGTGCTTATTTATTTTATTTGCTCTTGCTTGCTTGTTTGTTTAAAAAATAACTTCAGTGGGTTATTTTTTTTATGTGTAGTTTAAAATATGCAAGCAACTTTTGTCCACTTATTTATTTATTTTACATCACTTTTCTTTGCTTTTTTAGCTAATCTTTAAAGAAACTACATGTAGTCTACAGATTGTTGAAAAATTCAACCACTCAGCAAGTATGTCATTTAAAGAAGGATGGTTTAAAGTCCTCTTTTTGTTGTAGATTTTCGCCTTCGGTTTCTTTTGGCTCGTGGGACGGTATTAGATCTGCCGAGCAGTATGGTCCTCAATGTTACCAACCAAGCGTGTTCTGTAACCTGGCGCCTCAAAGCTGTAATCAAGAGGTACAGAGCAAAGATAAATGCGCACACCACTTCAGATTCTATATATATATATATATATATATATATATATATATATATATATATATATATATATATATATATATATATATATATATATATATAAAATCGCTACGGTTACTCGGATATATATATATATATATATATATAATTTCAAAAACAAAATGAAGAACCGGTACAGTTTTGCTGGGTGTATTTAAAATAAAAATCCAAAAAATCACAAAATATTTTCTGCAAGCGCTTTCGCCATGTTAGGCTCTTCAGGCAGTTATACAAATGTCAGGTAGGTTACCTGGTAACGTCCAAAAGCAAAAGTTCATTGTGACGTCATAATAGATCAAGGTAGCGTAAAGTTGCCGTATTAGATAATGTACAAATATTGCATTAACTTGAACACATAATATGCATAAAATCTTACAATATGTTATATAATAATGTATCATTTTCGATTAAGCTTTGGTTTAAAGAGTTTGATAAAGTAGTCCTCTTTTGCCAAACGTAGATTTTCATTTTCATTGGGAAGTTTATAAAAAGGGAAAATCTTAAATATTCCTTTGCCGCATTTTGCAAAATGTTCACAACATGGTGTATTACGCACACTAGGGTCTTTAATTTGTTGCTTGTGTACACGAACCCGGGCATTTAGTTTCCCCGTTTGTCCAATATAGAATTCTTTGCATGTCGGACAGATTGCACAGTAGATAACGTTTTCGGATTTACAGTTCATTGGTGAATTGGTTCTAATTTCCATTCCTGATTTAAGTTGGATTCTATTTCCCTCTTCTAAATATGTACACGTTCCGCATCTTGGATCTCCGCATTTTTTAATGGTTGGAATTTCCTCCTGTGTAGTAAAACGGGCATTGGTTAACAATTTTTTAAGATTGGGTGCCTGTCGTCGACTATTGATAATATCATTTGGTTGTATTAAACTTTTCATATTTTCCGATTGTTCTAAAATTGGGTAGAATCTTTTAGCGTCCATAAGGATATTTCTGTTTCGTGGGTTATGGGTCACAACAAAGGCTATTTTCCCGTCATCGGTGATGTCATCTACACGACGTGGATTTCTAAGGTTCTCTATTGGAATTTTGGACGCCTTGTCTATTCCAGCGTTGATTAAATCAATTGGATAGTTTTGTCGTCGTAGATATATTTTTAATTCCTCCAAACGTCTAGAACGCAGGGTTCTATCTGTAATAATTGTACAAATTCTTCGTGCTAAATTAAACGGGATATTACGTTTTGTGTGGGATGGATGGCACGATCTAAAATCCAAATACTGATGCGTGTCCGTAGGTTTACAGTATAAGTCTGTAGTTATACAGGATCCATTCTTTATAATAAGAAGATCTAAAAATGGAAGTTCCGCACGACTTTTTTCTATTGTAAATTGTATAGAATCATGGAGGTTATTAAGAAGTGAATGGAATTTATTTAAGTCTTCTTCACTCTTGGTCCAAAATATGAAGCAGTCGCCTAGGTAACGTTTCCAATTATTTCTAATATAGTTACCAAATATATATATATATATATATATATATATATATATATATATATATATATATATATATATATATATATATATATATATATATATATATATATTTATTTATTTATTTATTTATTTATTTATTTATAGTGTTTTTCTTGAGTTTCGAACCTAAGAAATAAAATCCTGAGTAACAATATGTTTCCCTCCGACACGCTAATCATTACGCTTTACTACTCATAACAAATACTGGTAGTTAAATCATGTTTCTGATATGACCCTTGACTCGATGGATTTCAAATATTTCTCGGAAAGATACGAATGTTGTGTCATAAAGTGTATTTTTAAGGCATTATTGGGTCCTTTGCTCCATGTTTTTGTTAACCAAAGAATGTATATTTTTACGCATATTTTAAATATATAATCGTTCAAAAATGGAGCGAAGACCTACTCTTGAAAAAAAAAAAAATAGTGTTTTAGTTTTAAGAATTGATTCTTTTTTTTTTTTTTTTTTTTTTGCTCTTTTTGGTGTGTGTATGCTATTCCATAGACAAATAATTTGTGAGATTGTTACAATTTGTGGAAATTTTGCCAATCTTCTTTAACAAGAAACGATTGACGATCGAGATTTCGCTTTAAAAAGACTGACACAAATGGAAGAGCATGGCGAAGAAACAGTTGCTACCTATTTTTTATCGACTCAGGTCAGTCGCAGCCATGATTGGAACACACTACCTTTCGATCACGGAGCGAGTGCTCTACCGACTGAGCTACCGTGACGGTTCAGGCGCCATGGAGGAGTGAGCATCCTCTGCCGAGCGATCGCACCCGCCTTGTGCTTCTTGTCATGATCGAAAAAAACCTGAAAAAATCCGCAGTCAGTTCAGTGTATAGATAATGACCTAACAACTAGTATGAAAAACGTCAGTCAGTCAGCATTTAACTCAATGATAGGTTATTGTTCTGAGAAGGTCATTGTATCGACCATAAAACTTGCGAAATGATGACTTGAAACGAGGCTGTTGATATCCTTGTTTCATCAACTTGTTTGTCAATAGCTTGCCTCGTTTTAGAAATTGTTCATACGTAGAACATGCTTTTGCGTATTGAATCAACTGAGAGACATAAACCCCATATGCAGAAGATAAGGGTATATTGGTGCATAAGTAAGGGAATTCGTAATTGAAAAGTTGAAGTCATCATATTTATCATAAAGCATAAAGAAATGAAGACTTTTCTGGTAAAGTTAAATGTATTAAACTGTTAGCCTCATAACAAAACAACTTTTTTTACAAGGTCCTGTAATTAGCTAATTATAGGAGATGTTTTCTCATTTTAATGATCTTAACCTATACAAGACCCCCAGAAGAGAACAAAAATAAATTTACACTTTTATCATTGCAAAAACTTTGCTATCTTTTTATTTAGATGAGCGAGGACTGTTTGACATTAAACATATACACCCCTAGAAGAGCCAGATACGACCCACGCAAGGGCAATCATAAATATGCAGTCTTGGTATGGATTCATGGCGGATATTACCAGGCGTACACAGCCGGAAGTCCTTACTACAATGGCCTGAAGCTTGCGTCAGCGGCCAGAATCATTGTCGTTACCTTAAATTATCGGCTAGGTATCTTTAAAAACACTTTGGAATTCCAACGCTGTTTGTGGATGTTTTATGATTAAAACATATGTTAACTTATCTTTATATCTATTTTAATTTGAGGAGAAAAACCTTTTTTAATTATCTTGAACAAATTCTAACGATGTAGTTCTTTCTGACATGATTGAAGATTTAGCCAAACAGTTTCGTTTATTTTCTAATCATGCACCGACCAAACAAAAAATATAACTGCCAGATGATTTTCCGAAGTAAATTAAAATCCAGTACATCTATATGATAAATACAATATCTACTGTATGCTACTGCAGGCCCTCTTGGATTTTTGAACATCCCTGATGTACAGAGCACAGGTAACTATGGCTTTTATGACCAGCGTCTGGCATTACAATGGGTTCGAAACAACATCCACTATTTCGGAGGAGACCCAAACAGAGTAAGGTTGATCTTACAGGTTTTGTATTGAATATATATCAAATTTATACTAAAGATAATGTGTAAAAAAAAAAAAAATTGGAGAATAACATGTTAAAAAATCGAAACTAGGATCAATAATTCTCTTGTTTTTGTAGCATTGAGTTTATAAATACAGTCGTTGCTATGTGACAAATGCTTGCTTTATTGCTACATTAAAGCATGTTTTAGTTTGTCTCATGTGCAGATAATGCAAGAAAATAAAACAGGGTGATTTTTTCCAGGTTACCATTTATTTTGACAGCATTTTTAAAATATACGATTATATTTTTGAAATGTTTTCAGAAAGATTTTTTGCAGAAGGTTTTACTGATACTTCTTTTCCTTTATAAGGTGACGTTGGGAGGTGAAAGTGCTGGTGCTCACTCAACTATGTTCCACATGATGACGCCGGGGTCTCAGTCTCTATTTCAAAGAGCAATCTTAATGTCAACACCAGGAATCGAAGTTCCAACTTCGGACGTAGCAGGCAGAACTGCCACCGGTTTGTTGAATGGATTAGGCTGTGATACGAGTGACAATAAACTAGAATGTTTGAGAGGCAAAACTGCTGAAGAAATTGTGACACAAAGCTTGCTTTTACCAGCCACTCAAAATTTCTTGCAAGGCTTCCAGCGTTTTGGTGTTTACATTGATGGGCAGGAGATCATGGAAAGCTTTTATGACAACACTAACATTAAAAACAAGTTTGGAGGCAAGCCCGTAATCATCGGTACTTCTGCCTATGAGAGCTTAAGTTTGACATACACTAGGTTGACAACTCCAGTTCCAGCCCCATTGTTTGGTGCCGTGGTAGGCCAATGGCGAACGGCAATAGTTCCGGAAACACAAAACTTATACCTAAGTTCTCCAAGCTCTGACACAGATATTCGCCCGGAAATTGCAGAATTACTAACGGATGTCATATTTACGTGTCCGGCTCGATTGTTTGCTGACAGTATATCTGCTGAAAACAAAGTTTGGGTGTATGTGTTTGATCAGCCGAATCTCGACTCTTACATACAACCACTGTCATGTGAAGACAGGGCATGTCATGTTGAAGACTTCCCATACTTGTTCCGGCACCCAGACCTTGTTCCAGGTGCAGAAGACAAATTCTTTTTCCGTTTGTCTAATTTGATTGTAGGATATTTTGGAAATTTCGTAAAGAATGGTAACCCTAACTCCCGCTGGAGAACACCAAAATGGACAGAATATCATTCAGACAGTACCTCGAAGGGGCAGAACCTTACCCTGGAGCTTCAATACCCCAATCCTCAGAAGATCTCCAACTTTAGAAAGGACAGGTGTGACTACTGGGATAGGGTAGGTTACGAGAAAGAATCTCCTTAGAAGATATGCTGCGTTACACCACTGAAAGGTGTTACAACAATTTTCTTGTTCGTGAATTTCCAAAATAAAATTTTGAAAACCGTGCATCCTTTTTTTTATTTTTTGTTAAGTTTGTCTCTGATGTACCTTTTAATAATCATTTCTTAGTTTCATAGAATAAAATCTGTCAATGGTGAGAAACTTAACGAGTTTGTACAAGAGATGTTAGGATATTGTTTCTGTGTTTTTCTGTGAACGCCAAGGTTTGTCATTTTATTCAACCAAGCTTTGAAAAAATGAAGAAATTTCAAACTATGAAAAGGGTAAATTATAATAGTACAGGAACTGTCGGTGACCTCTCATGAATAAAGCAAAGCATAAACATTTTCAGAACTCATGCATGTCTAGAACATTATTAAAGTTTAAAGACTGAATATGATGATATTTAATTACCAATTGCTCTGCTCCGGGGTTTAGTAAACAAAGTAATAAAAATGGTTTGCATATCGATTTTCAATGGAAGTATTTTATGGTAAAGAAGTCAAGCAAATAGCGGCTTGTTTTAATAGGGCTGTTTATGGCAGATTTATTCTCCGAGTTTTCATTGATAGGTTACACCATTTGTTTTTATACCATTATGACTACGGATTACGTGTAATCCGTCTACCGGATCAATACATATAGATGTGAGCGGTCGACAGGGGAAGCTTACTCCTACTTGGCACCTGATCCCATCCCTTGTGTTTCCATGTTTTTGCCCTGTCCTTGATTCGTACTCTTTTACTGGATTAATAGGATTGAACCTTTACATTGTAGAAATTTCATTGAAAGCAAAGCCAAATTATAGTAGAAAAAGGTTTCGAAATGCTACATAAATTTTATGTTACTAAACCCGCCTCAAAATTCACTTCATCGGATCCCACCTCTGATGTTTGGAGGTCCGTGTTTGCTCTGCTCCTATTTTGTATTGTTTAATGGACTTTTGAGCTTGAATACTGTTCGTTATCTCCATATATTTCATTCATATCTATTCAAGAATTTAACTTACTTGTTCTGAAAGTATAGAAAAAATTAGATATACAATAAACATACAATAAGTGCAGAGCGAATAGTTCTTGCCCTCGAAGAAAGGTATAGCTCCGTGTGACTGTGTTTAAGTTAAATTTCAATTACATTGGAATTTACGATTTGCTTTCTCTTTAGTGCATATGAAGAAATGGTGTTCATTCTGCTCACTTGCATATCAGCCGAATTGGAGGCTAAATTGACGACAGATTCCAGAAAGGTTTACAGAGAAAATTCAATTTTTAAAAAATCGCTAATTTTTATGTGCTAAATATTTAAAATAAAGTTCTTTCGCTATGAAAAGATTATTGATACCAAAGTGAAAGTTGCGACCGCTTTTTCTTTTTGAAAATTCGAAGCGAGAGTTCATTGTTTTATTGAAGAAAAGAGCACAGAATCGGTGTCTTATTATTCAATTTTGATGATGAAAAGTAAATGTTAATTGCAAGTTGATAAAGTTCTTTCGCCGATTAAAAGGTGCAGAAGAAAGCCTATTTTTATAAATTATAGATGATTTATGATTTCGTGAAGAGTTTTTAATTTGATTGGATGATTGATTGATTGTATGCTGTTTAATTTAATTTAATCAGTATTTTATTATGTAAAGTCAGTTTACATAATTGGATTGGACATCAGGCATGGCCTATATAAGTCCTCTCCAAGATTGTTTAATCGTCATATTCGAGAATTTTTCACTCATAAAGAGACGTCACCGTATGCAAGTTGGGCTTCAAATTTAGACGTATATATGGGCACTCAAGGCCATTTAGCAGTGAGGGTTTCTTTATCGTGCCAACGCCTACCATGACACGGAATCTCGCTTTTTTAGGCCTCATTCGAAAGACGCGTGACTTTCATTTTAATGCCCATGTTTACATCTTAGGTATGACGCAGCCCGGCGAACGGTATCGAACCCTGGTCTCCCGATCACTAAGCAAGCGTCCTACCATATGTTACCGTGACAACCAACAACCAAACCAAACCAAACAAACAAACAAAACGAAACGAAACACTTGAAGGTTTAAATATAATTAAAAAAAAAAATGGAAATTCGCAGGATTTTATAAATAATAAAAAGTTATCACATAGAAGTAATCTCGTGTATAAACTGAGCACCATTTCTCCATATGGTCTATTTTTATCAAGAATGAGCATGCATAAAAGATATTAGATAATTAAAAGAAAATACACAAAGTCCTTAAAAAATAGTATAGTTTGAAAGTAGGCGAGAATTTACAACTATGAAAGTATGTCGCCAGGTGTCGAACCATGATTCTTAAAAAGTACACTATTACCTGCGGTGTCAACAGTCAGCGGCTATACCATTCGAGCTTTACGTGCTTGAAAATAGATGGTATGAATATATTTACATCCAATGAATATTATTTCCTTTATTTCCTTATGAAAATCATTGCCGTTAATCAGTTCATAAACAACACCTAGCAAGTCACCGCATAGATTTCTAAAGCAACGGCTGTTCCATCAATTATGCATACAATGACATACACATCTACAATACAATATTTAACATAATTAATTTACTTTGAATGTTTTTTTTTAAAGATATAAATATAAACAATAAAATGTCTTTCTTTGGTTGTTACATGTAGTATATCGCAGCTATTGCAGAAAAAAATCACATAACCCGCTTACACGGGTTATGTATTTTTTCTGCAACAGCTGCGACATTAATTCCCGTACTAACAATTAACCAAAGAAAGCATTTTATTGTTTAAATTAAACAAGTTGTCAAAAAAACATGTTTCCTTATTTTTTATAGGTTTTTTGTGAATTTCGACCCAAGGACAGGGATGCCTATCTTAATGATTCCTAGGAACACAACCTATGAAAATATCATGTAACTTTCTTTAAAGGCAGGCCTGTTTGAAGCACTTCTAGGCGAACGTTTACGCAAAGACCGGTGCTTTAACGAAGAAAATGCTGTTTTATCCAACTTTGAAGGTTAATTTTAAAGTTGTTAATTAAAGAATTAAGGTTCAAAATGCAAATTTAAAAACTTCAGACATAGGGTGTAAAATAAAATAAATGAATGTTTGTTTTAAATGTGACTTTTTTCCGGGATATTTTTCTCTCCTATAGGTCAATTCTTTAGAAATTCCGAATACATCATTTGTGTCCTCGGTGTTCAATGATTGGTCTTGGAGTGGGTCCGAGTTGAAAATTAAAAATACACCTTTACTAATGAGAACTTTTTTGCATTATTGTAATGTGCTGCTAGCCCTTGGTTCAGATCTTGGATTTGACTGCGTTTATTTTGTTAAGTGCGTCTATGACAACTCTATTAATTCCCAAACAAGCAACCCATTATTGTGCTAAGTGGATTTAGATATTCATTATATATGTAAAATGTTCTTTTCGTCTGAGCATCTATGAGAAGCTTCATGCATTGTGATTTCTCATCCAATTTGTAGCATTCATTGAGAGTGATGGAAAGAGTTGGTCTAATCTGAGAAAACTCATAATACTACAATGTAATAGTAATCATCAAGGTTCTTTTGTTTATTTTAAGCATTTGTTGAACTTCTATTAAAAATTGCAATTTACTTAGTTTATTTTAATTTCATGCAAAATGTATTTTATCTATGAACAGAAATGGACATTTTTCATGTTTTTAGAAAGGACAATAATGGAATTTTACGATATAAATATAAGTGCACATTTTTCTCAAAAATTCACTTTATCTTGTTAAACTTTCCCCCCATAAACATAAAACGTAAGAGAAAAAAAAATTTAAATTTCATCTTAATTTCAGCCAAATGCAGATGTCTCGGAAACTACGTGAAACAGATTTACAAAGATATTTTGTTACGAAACCATTTATCAGTTTCATCTATCTCACTATATTAAAAAATAAAACACTTATTAACCATAACTGGTGCTTTATCGACCATTTTTTCTTTATGTATCTTGATCTACAGCAAGTTTCTGATACTTTTATACTTACGGGATACTTTTCTTCACACCGGTCAGACATGCGCTGATTTTGTTCTGTTTGCTAGTTATCCTAGCAGTGCTGATATCCTCCAGCAGTTTTGCATTGCCTGTCGGCAAACATGGGGAAAAAAACATTAACATTCGAAATACAGAGTTTGGAAAAGTTAGGGGAATTATCACCAAGCAGGGACAATCTTACTTAGGAATTCCATACGGAAAGGCTGACAGGTTTACAGTAATTTTGTTATATTTTTATTTGTAGTTAAACATATCAAGCCCTCTTATATGAAATCCACTTCTAAGATTAAAAAAAATGTTAGTTACATTTTCAGATCATTCAATACAACTATGAAGGCCATAGGCACGGTACCTTACCCACTGGTAATTTTTTAAGATATTCATAATTTAGAATTATAAATATATCATACTATAAAGTGTTTTCTTCGACAAATACATATATCCGGACACAATACGATTTTGAATAGATATCAAATGAATAAAATCCTTGTTGTTACTACATGTCGTAGTAAAAAAATAATTATACAAAAATTGCCGAACATAGTTTTAGCTGCCATTTTCTTAAACTTTAGCAGAGCGAAACTCCATCATAGGGTAATCGCGTGGCGTAGTGGTTAGAGAGTTTGCTCTAGAGTCGCAGAGTAAGGTTTTTTGCTTCTTATGTCGCGGGTTCGAATTCCACTGCAGGACGTGGAGACCAGTCCTTGGATGAGACCATAAAACTGATGTCTCGTGTCGCAGTAGGTGCTGGCACGAAGAAGATCCCTCACTGCTCAATGGCCTTACGTGGTGTCATGTATAGATCTAAATTTGCAGCCCTCCACTGGCAAGTGGTGGCTTCTCAACATGATTAAAAAATTCTCGAAGGGACGTAAAGAAACAAACAAAATGCATCGCATACAATATTAGTGTAAGCTTAGCAAACTTTTTTATTGTCCTCGAACTCTTCAATTCCAGGGAATAAGAACGTCGTTGTGTATGTCTTTTGAAATAGCTATTCTTTTTCCTTCGACATTGTCTGTCGCGCATGAAGGATGTATTCGGAGAAGCAATTTCCTGGAAATTGT